TTGGGGAGGCAGCTCTGCTGATGAGACACCCCGGTGGACGCTCTCAGCCTTGTCGCTGCTGGGCCCCGGAGGCCAGGAGGGAGAAGCCACCTCCAGGGTTGCCCCTGGCTGTCCTTGTTCTGTCCGCAGGCGCTGCCCCGGAATCCCCTCTCCCAGGGCACACGGGGAACCGGCGCCCTCTGCTGGGCCCCTCGGGCCGGCTGTGCCCTCCATCTCCCCGTACGGTAAAGGCTCGCCCTGCAGATGGCCCCTTGGGGTTCAGGCCACACAGTGGCTCCTGCCGAAGGGCCCCCGAGCAGGCTCCTCCAGACTTCAGAGTGGACGCACACTAGGCAGGCCCAGGCCAGAGTCACCCCCAGGTGGACCCTGTGCCCTGGGCTGGCCGGGCTGAGCGCCTCACACGCTGTCCCGTCAAAAATAAACGCACAGCACCCTGGTCGGGCGGCTCAGCTGGCGGGAGCGCCACTGTGTCACTGAAAGGCCACGGGTTTCATCCCAGGTCCGCCTGCCTGCAGGAGGCCACTGACTGATGTTTCTCCCTCTCTCTTCCTCTCTCTCTGAAAAGCAATGAAAAAAAGTCCTCAGCTGAGGATTAAACAAACAAACAAACACACAGCCCTCCCCCACAGTCCCTCCTGCCCCACTCTGCACCCCTGCAGAGGGGCTTGGCCTGGGAACCCAGCCCAGCGCGGGTCTTGTCATCCCCTGCGGAGCTGAGGAGTGGGCGTTGGAACACGAGAAGGGGATGCGGGCGAGGGGACATGGCCGCCTCCATGATGTGCACAGCCTGGCCCACTCGTTCATTCATACACTCGTTCAGAAATGTCAGAAATGTTCGTTCACATCCCACCTGCTGTCTGCAGGGGGCGTGATGCCCTAGAGCCAGCGGGCCTGGGGCCGCTGGGGCCACACACCCACCCCTCACTCTACGAACGCCTGCGACCCACCTGGCTTGGGGCCAGGGCCAGGCCACGGGCCGCCTGAGGGTCCTGCCCACTCCCGAAAAAGTTCCGGCTGGTGCTTCACGGGGCCGGGGTGCAGTGTCCACTCCACCAGGGGTGGCCCAGAACATTGTGGATGAGGACTGGGCCTGAGGGGGGTGCCCAGACCAGACCTGGCCACAGACCCTGTCCCACCCTCGGCTTGCCCAGACCCTGGGCCCCGCCCACCCACTCGGCACGCCTGCCGCCCATGGGCTTGGGGTGGAGGCCGTCCCCCCACTCTCCAGCACAGCAGTCTGGGAGACACCCCCACCCCATGCAGGAGTCTCAGCTGGGCCTTCCGGAGGTGGTGGCTGAGGGGCCAGAGGCTCTGGCTGGCCCATTGGCGCCCCCTGCAGGCCTCCCAGCTCAGCAAAGTCTGCTCAGCCCCAGCAACTTGGGGCCTCAGAATTTGAGGGGAGGCGGGGTGGGGGGGGGTGGGGGGGTCTTGGGGGTCAGGAGAGCTGGGGCCAGGGCAGCACAGGGGTCTTGGGGTCCGGGGACTGGTGATGGGAGACCGTTAGGAGCCAGGATGCCCACACCGGCCCTAACAGTGTCCCCAGGAGCCTGGGCTGAGTTGAGACCCTGCTCTCTGGCCTCTTCCAGCCCCAGCAGCTGTGGCGGTGGGCGGCTGTCCCCGAGTGCACTCCTGCTTCCAGAGTGGGCCATCATGCATATAAACACCAGGGACGTGTTCCCAGCGCCCTGGGCACACATGGGCCGCACGTGGAGGGAGGGCCCGGCTGGAGGGGACACGGGGAGATGCCAGCAGGCACTCCGCCCCAGACGGACCCTCTCAGGGCGTGGGGACAGTGGTTTCCACAGGCCCGGGCTTCTCTGCTGAGGCTGGAGCCCCTGCGGGCCACCAGCCACGGACAGGTGGGCAGTGGGTCACTGTGACTGACTCTGTGGCCCTCTCAGGAGGCACCTACTGCTGTAACGAAACTCCACAGACAGCAGACATACTATATCTGACATACAGCAGATATACTTTGCACGGTGCTGGAGGCTGGACGTCCTCGGTCAGAGTGGCCGTCAGTTCAGTTTCTGGTGCGGGCTGCTTCCCACCACAGCTGGTTACTGACCTCACACAGCGAAGGGAGGCTCTCGGCCTCCTCTCCCCGGGCACAAATCCCCCAGGGGTTTGGCTCATGGCCTCGCCCCACCCCACTCAGCTCCACACTCTGTCCCCTTGGCTCGAAGTTTCAACACAAGAGTTTGGGGGGAAGCAGAAATTCAGCCATGCTGCGGGGTCTTGATCTGGGTCCCCGGGACTTGCCCCCAGGCCCACCACACGGGGGGGCAGGGGTTGGCGACACTGCACCTCCTGTGCTCCAGGAGGGTGGGCCTGGGGGGCAGACCCTGGGTGCTCTGTCCACATGGTAGCACTGCTTAGAGATGGGCACCCGGAGGTGGGCCCCAGGACAGCTTCCCCCTGGCAGGAGGCCACATGCCGCTGGTGTGTCGCGGTGCAGGAGACACAGGGTACAAGAGTCCAGGCTTCCGAAGGCCCGGCGCGGGTCATGTTTACCCTCGGCAGGCCAGTGCCAGGGGCCCCCGCCTGGCCTCGCAGCCCTGAGTTAACTCAGGCTCCAGGATAAACATCCATTCAGCTGCACAAGGCCCCTTTGTCCAGAGAGGCTCCCGGGCCGGGATGATGCCCAGCGGCCTGTGGCCTTGTCCAGGCAGAGTCCCGGGGTCTGGTTCAGAGGCCCTGGCAGGGGACAGGGCACTGGGCAGTTTTCGGAGTGGCTGGAGAGGCCAGGCAGGCAGAGACGGGTTACGAGGGTACCCCTCCAGGCCCCTTCAGAGCAGCCCCGACTGTGCAGCAGAAGGGCGGCCCGAGGCCACGTGGGCAGCTCTCGGGGCCCTGGGGCTGCAGGCCCCACTGGCCCATTGTCCGCCCTCACCCCGACCCCAGGCGCCCTGCCCCGCCTCTGCCCAGCCAGTGGTCACTGGTCCATTTCCTGGTCTGTGAAGTGAGCTTTGGCCAGCCCCAGGGGGCTTCTCGGCCTCGGAGCTCCTCCCAGGTGGAGTGCACCCCATTTGTGTCTAGGAATGGAGGTGAGGATGGGGTCCCTGTGCATGGGAGGGAGGTTCTTGTCCAGGGGCTGTTGGAAAGGGTGCCAGGGGTGGGGCTGATACAGGGTGGGGCATATATGGAAGGAGTCACAGTTTTGGGTTGGGGGCTGCCTGTTGAGGGAGGGGCCCAGCATGGTGAGGAGAGGACAGAACCCTGTTCTGAGTAGCAGGACTTGCGGGGGGTTCTGGCCTGGATTGGGGGGCCCACACCCACTGCCCACACCCCTGCAGCTGGCGAGCGCCCTGGGGCTGGGTGAAGTGGAAGGCATCGTGTCTGCTCTAGGAGGGGTGCCTTCCGGGGGCCGCAACCCCACAAACCTGCTGAGCAGGACACCAGCAGATGAGGTCCCTGAGCAGGGAGGCCAGAGGGCCAGGTGGGCCACTGGGGCTGCTGCTGGGAGGGGCAGCATTCTGCTGAGGCAGAACTTCACCAGCCGCTGCAGCTGGTTTGGGTGGAGGGGGAGCCCCCCCCCGGGTGGCGCGAAGCAGAGAAGTTCTGGCCTGGGGCAGCGTCGGGCTGGCCCGGCCTATGGGCTCCGTACTCACACCTGGTGCCGGAGCCACTGCAGGTGGGCCCTTGACCACAGGAGGGATGTGTGCAACCGGTTGTACAAGGACCTCCAGCGGCTTCACTGGAAAGGGCATCAGGGGTCCCAGGAGGCCAGACAAGCTGTCACAGGGACAAGCAGATGTCAGGGCCAGAGCCCTGGGGTCCGTGGGGAGCAGGGGCAAGCGTGTCCCCTGGGTCCCCGCCCTCCAATGTGCTGAGAACAAAGGTGCCCTCCACCTGTGGGGCCCTGGGCACACGCTCGGAAGCCAGAGGGCTGCCCTACAGCTCCCAAGTCAGGATGCTACCAGCAGGTGCTTTGGGGACCCTGCATGATGGCCCACGGCTGGCAGCGCCCCCTGGTGGTGGGCAGGCATGTTGCTGCTGCCCACCCTCAGGCCCTGGAGGGAGATCTGACTGGGCAGGACTTGGCTGTGGTTCTGTGTGGGGAATGCACCCCTGGCCCCTGCACCACTGACCAGAGAAAATACCCCTTTGCGGGCTTTCCCCCCAGGCCTGAGCTGGAGCACTGCCTTAGCTGCCCCGGGTGGTGCTCACTCCCTGCACCTGTGCCGGGAGCACGAGGAGCTCTGTGGCCCAGCACTCCGGGCCTCACCTGGGAATGGTTAGAATTGCAGCCTCAGCCACCTGTACCCACTGGGTCAGCACACAGGAGCCCCGTGCCCTCCAGCTGGCTCAGAGCAGAGGGCTGTATTTCAGCCCGGGCCCATCTGTGTCTGGGGGCTGCAGGCCAAGCCTCTGCCCTGAGCCCAAGGGCTTCTGGGGCAGCCGTACTCCCACTGCGCCCGTCTGGGGCCCCACCACCACTCTGCAATGCAGCCCCTCTGCATCCCAGCCCCTGAACCACACGGCAGTGTGAGGGGCCTGTGGGCCCCGGTGTCCAGTGTGTGACACGCTCCTCTGGAGCGGGCTGGGGGACGGGGCCTGGTGTCTGTCCCGAGACCGTTCTGTGGGAGCTTGCAGAGGGAGCCCCTGCCCCCAGCTTCGAACACCCACTCTGGTCAGGGCTCCGCAGGCAGACCGGAGCTGGGGAGCCCGTCTCAGCTGTGGCACCCAGCTGTCTGCAGTGAGCCCTGGGGGGCACAGACCTTCCCCACGGACTGGACGGGTGGTGCAGGTGTTAACCCTCAGCCACACAGCAGCGAGCACACCACCCGCGGGCTGTGGCCTCGCCGAGCTGCACAGGGCTGACCGTCCCTTGCCTGCTAACTTTTTCACACGGAGAACCCAGTCCACTGGGTTCGGCTCTGGGCTCAGGGACAGAGCAGGCTGCCGCCCTGCTGGCAGCTCTGAGGCACAGGCGGCGGTGGCGGCAGCTGTGGCCACGGCTGGAAACCTCGGTTTTAATCAAGACAAGGCGACTGCAGCAATAAACTCAAGGGAAACTTTATTTAATCTTTTTAAAGCAATCTAGTTTAAAAGGGAGCTGAAGTGAGGAGAGAAGAACACAAAAACTTCCAACAGACAGACAGACAGACAGACAGACAGACAGGAGGCTGGGGGTGCACAGCAGGAACCCCGTCATCAGATCTTCTCCATCTTGGAGATGAGGTCGTCGCAGATGCGAGTCAGTTCGTCATTCTCCTTCGTCTGGAAGAGAGATGTCCAGCCCTGGGTCTCCCAGGGCTCAGGCAGGGCTGTGGGGGCCCTGGTGGCGCCCGCCTGGCCTGGGAGCCGGCAGGACCCAAACCCAGGGGGCTGGTCCCTCCCGCGCCCTGGGCCTCTGGCCCACCCCACCTTCTGCTCCACGGTCTTCTCCAGCGAGTGCACACGCATCTGCTCCTTCCTCAAGCTCGCCTGGAAGGCCAGCGCCTCTGCCTGCGCCTTGCTCCGGACCTGGGCGATCTCCTCGCTGGCCCTGCACACACACCAGGTGGGCTGAGCTCCCCGCCCCCAGCGCCCCCCCCCCCCACTGCCCGCAGGGGCCCGAACTCACAGCCGTAGTTTCTCCTCCGCATGGGCCTTCAGTGCCTGGTACCTCTGGCCTTCCTTCTCGACTCTGACGATGTAGCCCTCCACACACTTCTTCAGGGACTCTTCATTCTTTGGGGAGAGAGGGTGTCATGGCCGGCAGGCCTCCACTCGGGGGGTGGGCCTGGGGCCAGGCGTGGGCAGGTCCCGCCGTGTCTCAGGTGAGCAGGGCAATGGCACATCCTGGTTTTCTCTTGGAAAAGGCCCCTCCACACACAGCCCAGGCCTCCCCGTCCCCGAATACCAGGTCCAACCCTTGGCCCCTCTGGCTGCTGTCACCTCCTATGGGGCCCTGCCTGGCACCAGAGCCGTCCCTTGCCCGGTCACCTTCTGCGTGACTCTTGTAAGCCCCACCCAGGGCGCCCCCCGGACCTCGTGGTCCTCCTCCAGCTCCTGCCCGCTGGAGAGCCAGGCCTCAGCCCCACCTACCGTCCGGTAGCCTTCGATCACCTCCTTCTGCTTCTCAAAGCGCTTGAAGAGGTCCGAGAAGGACTTCTCCAGGGAGCTCAGGTCTGAGGCCAGCTGGTCCTTTTCTGTCAGAGCCTTTTCGGTCTCGGCTCTGGCCCGTTCCTTCTGTTTCTGAGCCTCCTCTTGAAAAGGGGGGAGCGCGAGGTTGGGGGGCGGCAGAGCAGGCCCTGCCCCCACTGCTGTCCTGGCGCGGGGCCTGGGGGCCCAGGGGGAGACGCTGCCCTGAAGAAGCGCCACACTCACCCATCGCCTGGTACACGATGCTCTCGAACCCGTCCATGACCTTCCTGCAGGAGGCGGAAGTGTGTGAACACCGCGGCCGGCTCTTTGGGGCCCCTGCCAACCTCCCAGCCCCGGGTCTCACCCCATCTCCAGGTTCTTCTCCTGCAGCTCCTTGCACTGGCTCCTCAGCTGCACATTCTCCTTCTGCACCGCCTCCACCTGCACAAGCCACACCCCGGTGCTTCACCGGCTGGACGTCAGCAGGCCGGGCCACCAGGTGCTGCTGCGAGCTCAGGCCCCAGGGGTGTCATGTGCCAGAGCCCATCAAGCTCCCCCTGAGGGCAGGTGTGTTCCGGGGGCCCCACTGGCCCCAGGGCCAACTTGAAGCGGGGCAGGGACATGGGGCCATTAGGCCAGGGTGGAACCCAGTCGCCAGTGGGGACACCTGGGAGCACCTGCTAGCCGGGTGACCCCACCAAGGCCCCTGCCCAGTGCACACCCCCAGTCCCCTCCCTGCAGTGGCGCCAGGGCGGCCCGCACCCCGAGCTCCCCCTCCCGGCGCCTGTCCTCACCGCTGCCTCCAGGTCCCTCTGGCTGTACTGCAGCACGTCCACGATGGGCGCCCCTGGTCCAAGGACACACGGCGGTGGGCCTAGCACCTGGGGGGCAGCAGAAGGGTTGGAGGCTCCGGGACAACAAGGCAGCGACCAGAGACAAGGCACGGCTGAGCAGCCCCCAAAGCCACCGACCTGAGCCCTCAGGGCCCTCCCACCCGTGAGTCTCTGCAGGACAAAGAGCGACACACTCACGGGCAGGTCCTGCGCTCCCGGCAAGTCAAGGTCCAGCAGTTTGGCCTCGGGCGGGCTCCCTGAGGACGGGGCAGCGGTGCCCTGCGCGCTGGAACTACACCAGAAGTGCACACGCCGTTTTGCTCCAGAGTGGGTGGGCCCAGGTCCCCCAGGGCCTGTCGTCCCTGGTCCCCAGCTGCGTGCCACTGCCCCAACCCTTCCTGTTCCCAGTCATATGTGAGGTGGCCCCCCTGCCCCCAAGGGGTGTCAGTGCAAAGCCTGCCGTTCGGAGCCGAGCTGTGACACCCCTTGGACCTGACGTCTCTGACACCCGAGCCCCCCCCCACAGACGTCTGACACACCTGCCCATGTCGGGGGCCAGGGGGGCCGGTCTGCGAGGACTGTCCCTCAGGAGCGGGTCAAACTTGAGGTACAAGGACTGCTTCCTCAGGGCTGACTCCTTAAACTGAAGGGGCAGGAGTGTCGGCAGGGTCCTGGTCACCCAAGGACAACGGCCCTGCGCGGGAAGCGACCAGAGGGCCGGGGAGACGGCCACACGTTGGGAGGCCCCTGGATGCGAGCAGGGAGGGGCCGGGCCGCCGGCCTTGCAGGCTGAAGGCCGTGGCTGCCCAGGTGCAGCTGAGGCACGGGCTGCTCTAGTGAACGTCCCTCCCCCAGACGCCCCCCAGGACGGCTGCGGCGGGCGCAGGCACTCACCAGGGTGGTCCCAAACTGCTCCAGGTAGTCCACGTCGGCCCCCGTGCCTAGAACTGAGGGGAGCACGTCAGCCGCCACTGCCCCCGGGCCCCACGCAACCGACGGCGCTTCCTCCACGACACGGAGCCAGCCTGCAGCTCCCTCGGTACTCGGAGCGTGTGCCCAGCGCCCCCAGCACGCCGACTGTGCCCACTGCGAGCGACCACCACCTGCCCAGGCCCACCCGGACCAGAACCCGAGGTCCTTGGCTTTCAGTCGGGGTGTCTGGCCCCACAGGACTGGTGCTTGGGGTCAGGCCTCTGGGCGGGGCTGTGCCGACCATCGGGCCCCTGGGGCTAAGCCGCCCTGGGTGAGACCCGCTGCTGACAGCCCCCCCGCAGAGCCCCTCCGTTTCCAGTAACCTGGCCTCTGCTCGGGAACCCGGGCACCTCGGGCCGTGAGTGAAGTCCGTGCCAAATGGGCCAAAGGCCACGAGAGAGCTGGAGCAAGAGTGTCCCCAGAAGGAAGGTGAGGGTACATCTTCAGGCCTCGGGCGCCCATCTCTTAGACTAAACACCAAAAACGCCCACGGCAGTTGGAAAACAGACACGGACGTCACAGTCCGAGTCCAGGCCTCCACCGTGAACCAGGTGGAGAGGCAGCCCGCCTGCGGGGTGAGGGGACTGCTACCCGTCATGCAGCTGGTCCGGCCCCCTCTCCAGTCTGCACACAGCCCAGGGACAGCCTCAGAGAGGGCGTGAGGCAGACCTTCTCCGGAGACTCACGAAGGTGCCCGCCGTGCTGGGGCCACCAGGGAACGCCTCTCCGAGCACCGATAGCGCGTCATGGCCATGGGGCCAGTGGGAACTGAGGAGCCAGGCAGCACATGCCGGCGAGGCCCCAAGGGCCCGTGGGAAGTCAGACAGCCGCGTGGGTGCCGGTGCCGACGCCCAGAAGACACAGGAGACGCACCCATGTGCTCACAACGCTCAGCGGGGGAGGGCGGGCAAGCAAAGCGTTGCTCTGTGCACTTGCGGCTGCTCAGCGAGGCCAGACTCAGAGCCCACGACCCTGATCCTAGCCCACTGACCAGTGTTTCTCCAGCAACCCCTGAGGCCCAGGTGTCCACGTGCTTGTGACCGTAACAGCCTCATTCACGCCTCTGCACGCTGCCCAGCATGCGCTGGCGATGGCCACCCCCAGAAGCCCTTCGCACCCTGGCCGTCCCTGGCACCATCCAGCTGCCGCACGGGGGCCTCCCCGATGCCAGGGAGCTGAGCTGCCTGCACATGTTGCTCCCGGAGCCAATGGCGGGAGGACAAGTGACAGCCCCGGGCAACGTACCCTCGGCTGGGTCTCGGAACTGCTCCTCACTCAGGTCTGAGGCAGGCTCTGGCCCCTGTAGAGCTGGGGCCGCTGGGGCTGCCGGCGAGGCTGGGGGTTTGCGGTCTGGACTGCTGGGGGTGGCCGCTGCCCCTGCAGAAGTCTTGATGCCCTCCTGGAAGGGAGGTGACGGTCACCTGCACGGCTCTGTTTGAGCACCTCACAAAGTCGAGGGTCCCAGGGATCCCCAGCCTCGCCCGGTCCCGTCAGGACAAGAGGGTGGAGGCAGGGGTGTGTCCCGCCCGGTCACCAATGGCCACGCCCTGCTTTATTACAACGTGCAAACGGTGACCACAGTGCAGAGACGAGTTCACACTCAGATGCACACACACTTGGTACCTCGCCCGCCGCTCCCGAGGTCCACACTGCAGTCTGTGTCACAGGCGTGCCCTCTGTGGAGGCTGGAGCCACCTGCCTAAAGAGACCAGGTCAACAGGGGCTGTGCCCCCCCCCCCAGCCCTGAACCACACCTGCCCTGTGCACCTCCTTCACCCAGAGAGCCAGGCGAAGCCCGCCCACTCCCGTGAGAACACCTGGCCTAGGAGGAGTCCTTGGAAGCAGGCTCCGAGGGCTTTTCCACTCGGGGGACAGTGGCCCTGAGATTCATTTGTCCTTTTTACCAGAAAACTGGTCAAGAAGCTGAATGAGGATGAGGGCAGCCTCCCTGGGCAGTGCCAGGATGCCAGGACCCAGGGGCAGCTGGGGACAGTCAGGGGGTCTGCATGCAAGTGAGTACTGGGCACTGGGTAAGCTTCCCTTAGGACCCAGTGCTTGGCAGCCTGGGAGCGGCTGTCCCTAGGGCGGTGGGCAGCGCAAGGGGCATGCACACGGGGACTGGGGCCTCGGGGACTGCCTGCACAGCCGCTGACAGCTCCGAAGCCCTGGTTTCCCCTCCAGGCTCCTCTCTGCAGTGGGGACCTAGCAGGGTGCAGGCCTGCTCTTCCACGAGAGCCCCCTGCTTTGTGGCTCCCTCTTGGGGGTGAGTGAGCAGCATTTGTGGTCCCAGGTCTTCCCGCATGCACCACGGACCAGCCTTAGCAACACCGTCCCCCCCACCCCCCACTCACTGGCTTGGAGGTGAGTCCTCTGCAGCCGCAGGCCCCGCCGGCCTGCTCTGGGGGCGTTCTGGGGGCCAGGCCTCTCCACCGCCTCCAAACGGGTTGAAGTCGGGGTCACCCAGCTTGTCCCAGTCCAGGCTGTACGACCCCCGAGGAGGAGGAGCAGAAGCCTCACCCACCTCCGTGGGGGCCTTTTCCTGTGTCGCTGCTGGTCCCTTCCCCAGCTTCCTTGGTGGAGGTGGCATTTTGCTGGGGGCATCATCAGAAAAGTCAGATTCTAGCCTTACGGGCCCATTCCTGGGTGAGCTGTCCATTTGGCCACTGGCCTCCTCCTTCTGAGGACTTGGGGCCGCGGCCCCTCCAGCCTGCAGAGGGCCCACCAGAGCAGTGTCCTCAGGGCCAGAGGTGTCCTCAGGGCTGGCGGGGGGCCCAGGCGGGTCTGTGAGGAGGTCTTTTCTGAGGGCCACTTTGGGATGAGTACCGGGGAGCAAAGTGGCCCCAGCTGAGGAAGCCGGGGGTCCGCTGGAGGGGTCTCCTGTGGTTCTGTCTGGGGACACGACCTTGGCAGGCTCTTCTACAACTTCTGGGGCGGACGTAAGGGCTTTGTCCAGGGAATCAGAACTGACGTTTCCCTCCAAGCCTCGCCCAGGGCTGCCAGACATGCCCTGTGGAGATGCCGTCTGGCTTCCAAGACTTGCGGTGGCCTGGGCACAGCCCGAGAGGCCGGGCTGGGTCTGGGGAGCGGCGGCAGGCCCGCCGGAGTGCCTGTCTTCAGCGGCTGGCCTCACGCCCTCTGGAGGCGGGTGGGCGCCCGCCACCGCCCCGTTCTGCGGAGTCCCATCCGCCGTTGGGGGGTCCACTTCCTTGGTGAACTGTTGGCTTTTGGAAACACACTTAGTCAACACTAACCAACCTGCTGGCTTTGTGAGTAGATTTTTGTCTACACTGAAAACATTAGCTAAAGATAGAAAAAAAAGGACGTTCAGTGAACCCTGTCCTCAGGATGTTTTCACGAGTGTGTTCCCATAAGTCACTGCTGGCGAGCCAGCTGGAGACACGCAGGCCTCAGCGGAAGCATGACAGACAAACACTCGGAGGTGAGGTTTTCTGTGCTAGCCTCCTACCCTTCCGGTCGGGACCCCTAGCTCCGTAGTCGGGACAGTCAGGGCTCTCGAGGGCCGTGTCCGCACTGAGGAGAGGGCGGCAGGGCCAGAGGACTGCCCTCAGCAGCTCCCGGGGTGCCTTGCTGGGTCCTCTCCCACCACCCCCACCTCTGCTCTGGGGCCCCCAAAGCCAGGAGGCAGCATCCGGGCCACCAGGCCCCCCTTCTGAGTTGGGGTCGCTATAAGGGAACAGCGTCTGAGTTGCTCTCATCTCTTTCAGTTGAATTTCAAAAGTAAAAGTACAAAGTGAAGTTGAAAAGTAACGAGGAGACCTGGGGAGAGAGACAGGTCCAGGTGCGAGGAGCCCCTGCAGGGCCCCGGGCACGGGGCCCCTAGATGTTTTGGTCAAGTTGGGCGAAGGGGCCATCAGTGGTGCTTTACTCGAACGCCTGAAATCTCTTCCAAAGAGAAAGAAAGTCCCAGCCCTGGCTGTTGTGGCCCAGGGCTGGGTGTCGTCCCCAAGAGCGAAAGGTCGCTGGTTCAATTCAGGAGGCAGCCCCCAGGAGTGAGACCAGGGGCTGGGGACACAGCCACCGACAAGACACCGCCTGGCCTCATGGGCCTGGCGCTCTGGTGGGTAGAAGTGCAGGAGTCTCCTGTCACTGCTGTGACTGATGACTGCTGTTATTCGCTTAAATAAAATAACACAAGTGGATTGTCTTTTTAAAAAAAAAATCCTTAGCCGTGGCTGGTGTAGCTCAGTGGATTGAGTGCGGGCCTGCGAACAAAAAGATCGAGGTTCCATTCTCAGTCAGGGCACGTCTGGGTTGCAGGCCAGTTCCCAGCAGGGGACACAGGAGAGGCAACCACACATTGATATTTCTCTCCTTCCCTTCACCTCTAAAGATAAATAAGTAAAATCTTAAAAAAAATTTTTTTTAAAGAAAAAGCAACTAAAAAAATATATTTACTTATTTTTAGAGAAGGGAGGGGAAAGAAAGAGAAATGAAAGGTGGGCCTCATCCTGCACAGACTCAGAGTACCAACCAGAAGAAACTCGAGTGGGGTGGCCGAGAGCACCACACCACTGTCTGCCAAGTCCGTCAGAGACGTCACAAAATGCAGGACATCAAAAGCACTGACACTTACTTCTCTTTTCGGGTCCAGACTTGATGACGAGAGTTCTCTAATGCAGCGGTGTTACCCAGAGCAGAACCAGTGTCAGGCCTGCTGCTCACGCTGGGACTCAGGATCCTGTGTGTCTGTGGGTCCCGCAGGGGTGTCTGAAAGGTCACCTGTGGGGGAGGGAGGAGGAGAGCACCTGTTTAATAATTCAAGTCCCCACTACTCCACTGGCTATACCCCGCTCAGCCTTGCCAGCTCAGTGAAGTCACCAGGAAGGCAGATTCCAGGGTGACCAAAGGTGCGACACAGGATCGCTCTTGCACTCACCTTCGTAGCTTTGGCCGTGCCCTTGGGTGGCACATTTTCCTTCTGTGACACACGGAGAACAGGCGACCTCCCGCTAAGTTCCGGTGGTGAAAACAGGAAGTCACAGTTTTCTGTACTTTTGTCACCAGTGACATTTTCGTCATTGAAGATCAGCAGACTCATTCTGCAAGAGCAGACGGTTTGGGTCACTGTGAGGGCTACACTGTCCGGAGGAATAGAGGTGACAGTGAGAGTTGCCCCTGAAAGGAGGGTCATGCCTCAGGCAGGGTCCTTCGGCAGGCAGTCCCTGTCCTACTTCAGGGGACTGGGACTCCTCCACGGGGCTGGGGAGCCTGCACCTCCCAGGACAACAGCTAGAGGAGCTATCAGTGAGAGGGAAGGACTGAATTCTCACTCAAAACCTCTGCGGGTGAAAGTCAGCGGACAGGTAAGTGCTGGCCTGGGAGAAAACCTGGGGTGGAAAAAGCCCGCCCCCCACCCCACAGGCCTTGGCTGGAGGTGGTGGCCAAGTCATTGGGGGACAGAGAGGCAGTGCTGGAGAGCGAAACTAGCGGTGAGGGGCAAGGTGAGTAGGTGGGGAGTTGAGGAGCTTCTACATCAGAACCAAGTCTCTGAAACCACAGGGGCCTCTGGTCAGGCCCAGAAGGCTCTAGGACAGCACATTCTTCCTTCCCAGTCTTTGGCATGGTCACTGCTGAGAGTGACCATGTGGCATGGTCACATTCTCAATCTAGAAGATGCCAGAGCACTGGGCGGACATCAACCTGCCTGGGGGACGCCAGGGCTCCTGCTGGGGGTGGGGGCCCTGGGGGCTGTGGCTGGAAGGGCAAGGCCAGGGTGGCTGGGGCAGGGGGAACAAGGGCTCCAGGAAAGAAAGTTTGGGGTGGGTGGGACAAGATGGCTTGGAGGGCGTGGGGGCGGGGAGTGGGTGGCCCCTGCAGCAGCAGGAACTGGGGTCAGCCGTGGCTTGGCCAGCAGGCCACCAAGCTCAGTGCTGAAGCAGGAAAGGCAAGTCGAGGGTGACTCAGGTTTCTGGTCTGAGCAGCTGGGTAAAAGGGGCAGCGGCCCCTTCCTGCAGTGCCCTGCCTGGGGAGAGAGCAGCACAGGGTTGGTGGCTTCCCTAAGTCTGGGCTCCTCCTGAGACAGGGACCACGGGAGGGGCTTGGGAGCAGAGGCTGCCTCTGCGCTTCGCTTCGGTGGGTGGGGAGCGCGTGAGCCCAGGTGTCGCGTCGGGTGCAGCTGGAGCCGGTGATGGGTGGGGTAGGGCTCCCAGCAGGAGGGGCCCCCAAGTGAGGAGGCGGGTCCAGGGGCGTCGGCAGGGGGCTGGGGGCGGAGACGTGCCCTTGCCAGTAGCAACTTAGTGTAGAATTTAGACTGGATGCGGTCCCGGAGGACCAAGGTGGAGGCCCGAGGTCCGCGCCCGACAGATGAACCGTCCTGGAGGACGGCGGAGAAGACCGAGGAGCCCGGGAGACTGGCGGACAGAAGCGACGGCGGGCTCGGGGAGGAGGGGCGGTGCCAGCAGCAGCCACAGAGGAGGAGCCAAGGGGAGGGGCGGCGCCCACCTGCCGCCAGAGGGGCCAGAGCCTCGAACGGAGGCCCCAGACCCGGAGCCCGCTGCCTTACCTGCCGGCCGCCGCGCGCAGTCGAGGATGGAGTAGAAGGCGCTGAGTCCCGGAGTCAGTCCACCCGCTACCGATTCAAATACCGACGTTTGGCGCGGGCGGCCAATCAGCGCGTGGTTGGGACGCACGGGGAGCCAGCAGCCAATAGGAGGAGGTGCCAGCCAGCTACGCCCCTCCATCGAGCCAGAGGGTGTGCTTCCGGCATGAGGGGCACACCGGCTTCGGCCGGAGCCGGAAGTATTTGGGAGCAGTGTCAAGCAGAGCACGTGAAGGGGAAGGCTGCTCGCATGCGGGCGGTGATTGCGGGGTTCTCTGCTGACCGGGAATCTCGGGCTCTGTTTCGAGTGCGACTGTACTGCGCGAAGAGGCTGGGGCCTGAGGGCCGCTCGCCCGAGTCTCAGCTTCCCCAGCTGTAAAATGGGACCAGGTGCAGCACCGCCTTCGAGGCAGGTCTTGACCGACAACCAAACACTCGCGAGGACTGGCGCGGCGGCTCACGATTTGGGCTCCGTCCAGGGTGGGAGAACTCCACCTCCCAGAATGCCTCTCGCCGGTCTGTAGCGGGACTCCATCTCCCAGGGCACCCCGCGGCGTACCGGCGCCTGGCGACGGGCAAGCCGGGGCCTGTTTTCCGCTCCGTGGGCGGCGGCGGCGGCACGATGGACAGCCCCGAGGTCACCTTTACTCTAGCCTATCTGGTGTTTGCCGTTTGCTTCGTGTTCACGCCCACCGAGTTCCACTCGGCGGGGCTCACGGTGCAGAACCTGTTGTCCGGCTGGCTAGGCAGCGAAGACGCCGCCTTCGTGCCCTACCATCAGCGCCGCACGGCCGCGACGCTGTTCTGCCACTCCCTGCTGCCCCTGGGTGAGGCCGTCCCCCGCCCCGCTCTCCCGGCCGGTATACCCCTGTGTGTTGGGGGAAAGCGGTCGACCCCGCGGTGGAGCTTTGGGACCCCAGAGGTGGCCGGGCCTTGTGACCACTCTCTCTGGGGAAGAGTCGAGGGAGGGTTCTGGGATCTCCGGTCTCCCCGAGAGCCAAGGCTGCTGGCCAGCGGCTCGTGGGTTCCCTACTGGCAGCAGCTGGTCGTATGTAAGTGGTAGAAACGGAGGCTCAGCCCTAGGGAGAGGCGATGCTTCGCCCAGCTGGTGCGCATCTGGAACAGTCATGTGGGTGGCAGTTCCCAGGAGAGGGGCATAAGTTAACTGAGTCCAACTCAGAGCGGAGTGCTCTTGGCCCAGGCCTTGGAAGGTGGGTGTGGCAAGGGCAGGCAGATACGGGTGGATGACACCACCCCTGGGGTTGGCACAGGAGGAGAGACTGGAAAGCCCGTGTGTGGCTAGCACGCTCCCACCTTGCCCAGGGGCTGTGCTGGGCAGTGACCTCGGTGCTAATGGGCCTCTGGGGGGCGAGTCTGTCAGCTGATTGATTGGTCGGAGGACTGGCTGAAGAGTGGGGTACCAGGCAGGGGATCTCTGGAGGACTTGGGGGTACAATCAGGCTTGGGACAGCAGTTGGCTGTTGCCTGCCCACAGCCCTGTGGACCGAGGGAGGGGTTTTCAGCTGGCAGTCGGAAGCAGCAACCCTGGTGGGTGTGGAGAGTAGCCATGAGGGCCCCCCACCCCAGGCCAGAAGTGCATGGGGGCTGTCTGTGGGAAACCAGAACTCGTGGAAGTAGAGGGATTCAAGGAGGCCACACCTGGAGGGGTTAGCGGAGCCTGCCTTAATAGTTTTTTATTTTTCAACTACAGTATTGGTATACAGTATTAGTTTCAGGGGTACAACCCAGTGATTAGATACAGACTTTAACAAGTGGTCACTGTGTGAGTCCAGCACCCACCTGGCACCACGCAGCTGATAGAACATTGCTGACTCCGCTCTCTGTGCTGTGCACTGACTGTTATTTTTTAAAAAAGATTCTTACTCAAGGATGTGTATATTGACTCTAGAGAAAGAGAAAACTTTGATGTGAGAGAGAAACATCGATTGCTGCCTCCCAGTTGCAACCACAACAGGGGATGGAACCTGCAACCAACCTAGGCATGTGCCCCGACTGGGAATTGAACCCTCAGCCTGGTGTATGGCATGATGCTCCAACCAGCTGAGCCATCTGGTCAGGGCTCCCTTGACTGTTCTGTAACTACCAGTTTTATTCGATGTCACTTACTTATTTTTAGAGAGAGGGGAAGGGACAGAAAGAGAGGGAGAGAAACATCTATGTAAGAGAAACATCTGTTGATTGCTTCATGCACCCCAACTGGGGACTGAACCCACAACCCTTTGCTTTTCGGGATGATGGCCAACCCAGTGAGCCATACTGACTAGCGCCAGAACTACCAATTTGTACTTCTCAATCCCTTCGCCTTCTCCACCCACCCGCTCCCATCTGACAACTGTTAACATGCAGGTGAAGCCTGTCCTGTGGCACCAGGCCCAGCTCCCGTTTCTCTTCACCATTTGTTTGGAACAGCTCTGAACGTTTATAGGCACAGTGTCTGCTGCAGCATAACAGGCTGTCCCGAGATGTCGCAGCTGGACCAGCTCAGTCAGACGTTTCCTCTTAACTTCGCAACCTCAGACCTGCCAGTGCAGCCCTGCGCATCTGCCTCGTCAATTTCAACGTGGGGCACTGGCCCTGGTCTGGCCTCACTGACCTGAAGTCCCACTGAGGGCGGGCACACTCAGATCTGCCTCCTCAGAGAGGGTGGGGCCACCAGGCCTTGCATTTGTTTTCGCCTTTCCTGGGTTTTGCTGGTTTTTAGTGCTCACATGCGCCAACTGAAGCAGCGAGTTACAGACACTTTCCTCTTACCTTCAGAGTCGTTGCCGTGGGCATGGGCTGGGCCAGGCAGGCCATGGAGGTGGCTAAGACCCATCTGGTGATCGGGGCAGAGGGTCAGTTCTAGGGTTGGTGTGAGAGGAAGAGGCCCCCTGCGAGGTCACAGGAAGTGACCTGGGCAGGGCTCCCTTGACAGTACTGTGGCTGTCAGTGGGCCCCACAGGGAGGACACAGGCAGGGCAGTCCAACCTCTACTGAGACCGCCCTGTCCTCTGCAGGCTACTATGTGGGCATGTGCTTTGCAGCCTCGGAAAAGCAGCTCTTCGCCCCCAGCCAGGCCCCAGAGGCCTGGCGGCTCTTCTTCCTGCTGGCGGTGCTCCTGCCCACTGTTGCTGGCACCCTGATCTACTACTGGTACCAGGATGGGTGGGCCCGCCACCCACTGGCCCGCTCCTTGGCCCTCTACGCCCTCCCGCAGTCAGGCTGGCAGGCTGTTGCTTCCTCTGTCAACACTGAGTTCCGGAGGATTGACAAGTTTGCCACAGGGGCACCGGGTGCCCGCGTGATCGTGACAGACACGTGGGTAATGAAGGTGACCACGTACCGTGTACACGTGGCCCAGCAGCAGGATGTGCACCTGACTGTGACGGAGTCACAGCAACACGAGCTCTCACCAGACTCGAACTTGCCTGTGCAGCTTCTCACCATCCGAGTGGCCAGCAGCAGCCCTGTGGTGCAGGCCTTCAACATCCGGTAGGTGGGCCTGTGGCGGGCCGAGGCTGGAACTCCACAAGGCCTCGTGCTCAGCTGGCACCTGGTTCTAGTCTTTGTGTCCCTCTGGGAGGCAACGACGGGTAGGAGTGGCCCCTCCAGTGTGACGTTTGCTCAGGGCTCCTGTCACCCACCTCAGGCCTCTTCCCTGGCCTTCTGTTCCCTTTGTGCCCCATGGGTACCCCCTGCGCTTCCCCTTTACCCACGCTGTGTCCTCTGAGCTGCCTTCTTCCCTTTCTTGGGGGAATACACTGGGACCTTTGGGGGCTGGATGGGACAGAGGGTTGGTGGCTGCCTCACCTCTGAGGCTTAGGCTGGAGCTGAGGTCCTCCCATCTTGTTCAGGTCATATCAGTCTGCTGGGCCCCTGCTGGGATACGCCTTGCTCTTGAACCTGCAAAGGCCAGGTGCTGGGTCTGTTGGCTCTGGCCTTACAGCCATCTTTGCTGGCTGGTTTTCACTGGGCAGCTGGGCTGTGCCCGAAGCCTCCATGTTCTGTTTGTTTGTGGGCACCCTGGTCCCCGCAGGGTACAGCCTTGGCCTCCCTGATGCCTGTCCCAGGGTTCCCGCCAGGCCACCAGGGAACAGGGTCTTGCCCTGCAGGGTCCAGTGGCCCCAGCTCAGCAGCCCCGCCTTGTGCAGGCTAAACTCCACGGAGTATGGCGAGCTGTGTGAGAAGATCCGGGCGCCCATCCTCCGAGCAGCCAACGTGGTCATCCGCCAGAGCCTGGGCGACCTGTTCCTGGAGACATTCGCCTCCCTGGTGGAGGTCAACCCAACCTACGCGGTCTCTAGCAGCCAGGTGGGGGGGCTGGGTGGTGGGGTGGCGGGTGGGCTCCTACTGCAGGGCCCCCATGAGTCAGGTCCCTGGCTGCAGCAGGGGACCCCTTGGGGGTGTCCGGTGGTCTCCTGTGACTTCCTTGGGCTACCCGTAGGAGCTGGAGGCGTGCATTGGCTGCATGCAGACACGTGCCAGTGTGAAGCTGGTGAAGACCTGCCAGGAAGCGGCTGAGGGAGAGTGCCAACAGTGCTACTGCCGCCCCATGTGGTGTCTCACCTGCATGGGCAAGTGGTTTGCCAGCCGCCAGGACCCACAGCGCCCTGACACCTGGCTGGCCAGCCGAGTGCCCTGCCCCACCTGCCGTGCACGCTTCTGCATCCTGGACGTGTGTGCGGTGCGCTGAGTCGGCTGGGTCAGGGTGAGGGAGCAGCCGTGGGGGTCCTGCCAGCCCTGCCAGGGCCCCCACTGCTGCCTTGGGGAGCAGCCAGGTCTCCAGGCCCAGGGCTCCTTACCCAGCTGCAGAAGGACAAGGGCTTTTTTTTTAGAAAGGAAGTTCTCTGCCAAAGTTTGGGTGGGGGCAGTGGGATGGGTCATTTGGGTTCTGCTGCCTTCTTTTCCCACCCCTCTGGGTATGGGTGGTACAGGTCACAGAACACAGCATGGGCCCTTTGCCTGGGTATTCTGGCCCCTTGAGCTGTTTTGGGAGAAACTGGCGTCTGTCCCAGATGACCCTGACCTGGGCCACTTGCCTTAATTTTATGGAGCACATCTGCCCCTTGGTTACATGCCAGATGCATATTCATCCGGGACGGGTTGTGGTCAGTTCTGCTACCGTCCCCATGCTGGCTGCTGGCCCCATGGAGGCTGCTCTGAGGACCTGGGGCAGAACCCAACAGTGGAGCAGAGACCTAGGGTGTCACTGTATGGTGACAGCACCACCCAGGGCTTCCTGGTGGCTGCTCCTAGATGAAGGGGCCCCTGCTTGCTCCCTGCCCACAGGGACTCAGCTTCCCATCAGGGGCTAGGCAAGTCACTGGTTGCTTTCAGTCGCCTGTCCCTTAGCTGTGTGCTCCTAGGGCCACTCATCCCCTAGAGAATCACTGCCTGTATGCCTCCTGCTGCCCCCAAGAGTCCAGGGAAGAGCCGAGCTTCAGATTCCTGGCCAGTGAGGCAGCAAGCTGAAGACCAAGTGCCACAGTGACATCCTGCATTTACACAAACCAGTCAGGATGCAGCACAGGACTGGCCACAGCCCACAGGGCCCACCTGGTTCAGCAGGGACATGCCCAGCAACCAAGGAACCGACCGGTGTCTCAGCGAGCTCTGGTGCAGGTGTGGGGGCAGTGCCAGGGCCCTGCTCTGATCGCATGGCCACTGGCGCCCTCACACTTGTGCCTCGTGAGCCCCTCTAAAACTGGCCCCTTTATGCAGAGGTGATGCACCCAGCTGGTCCAACTCACCCAGGGCCATGCCAAAACCCAGAGATTAGTGGGGGAGAATGTGTGGGCCCTTGGGGTGCTCAGCAGGTGAAGGCAATAGAGGGGCACGGGGAGCAACTCCCAGCCCAGCCTGGAGTTTCAGGTGCTGCCTGGGGAGGGCCAGTATGGGGCAGTTTTTTTCTACGAAAGGAAATGACCTAGTTTTATAAAGATAAGTCTATTGTAGCTAAGTGACACAGTATTCAATAAAACCTTAGCCTGAAGTTAAATGCACTTTCTCTCTAGTGGACTGTTTTTCCTGATATTCAAGCTTTGGTAACAGGTGGGGAGAAGCCATCTTAAAAATGTACACATTTCAGTGTGGGGGTTGTGTCCAAGAAAGGGGAGGCTTCCCCTGAGAACTTCCCCTCTGAATTCCTGCTGGGGTGCAGGTCTGCGAAGCCCATTTCCAGAGCGGCTAGGGGAGCAGGCCCAGTGGTCCCTGGAGGGTGTTCTGGTTGGAGGGGTGGTGACCTGGGGCGGGGGCTGAGGTCAGCCTGGAACACCGGTGGCTCAAGGGCACAGGCCTCCCCGTACCGTTGAGTTGTCCTGTGGCCATGTGTGTGGGGGGCCTGGGTGGCCCAGGCTCAGGGGTGGGAGCGGGTGAGCTCCCCAACACTCACTGCCAGACCCGAAATAGTTCTAGGGACATGTAAGTCACTGAAAATCCAGAGCCCTGGCTGGGCGGTTCCGCGGGTCAGAGCGTCGCCGATTCGCCAGGGTTGAGGTTCGACCCCCAGTTAGGGCACATACAAGCACGAATGCGTAATGGAACGAGTCGACGTTTCGCTCTCCCTACAATCGGTAACAAACTTAAAAACTCGACTTTTCTGCGTCCAGAATCCGAGGTCTCTTCCCACCTGGGGTCGTCTTACTGGCCAGGGCTCTCTGCTGGGTGGGGTGGGGCGGGGTGAGCGCGGGAGGCGGTGCTGGAAGTGGCCGTGGGAGCAGTGCTGGGAGGCGGAACCGGACGAGGCGCGGCGCCAGCAGCTGTCCCAACTCACCAGTTTCCGCAGACTTGCAAGGAGTGAAAACAAGCTTTTCGCGCGTCCCCGCTACCGCCCCTTCCGGGTTCTAGTTCCCGCCAGCGCGCGGAATGCCGCCTCCCGGTGGACCAATCGGAGACAGTCCCCGCCCGGGCCTGGGCCAATGGGGAGGGCTGAGCCGCTGGCCTCGCCGCGAGCAGTCGCGTCACGTGCTTCTGAATCTCCCGCCAATGCCCCGCCCCTCCCGCGAAGGAGCGTCCAATCGGCGTCCGAGGGCTGCGGGCGCCTCCACGCCGAGGGGCGATATTTTCAGGGTCGCGTGCTCAGTCAGCCCCACGGCGTTCGCCCGCCTGCAGCCGGCGGCGTCCGAACGGAGGCTTCGCGTCTCCTGCGGACCTAGGCCGCCTGCGCGGCGCGCGTCCGAGCGGGCTTCCCCCCGCGGGCCCGATGGTCTCGTCCGCCGGGTGTGGGACAGCCCGGCGCGGGGCGGGGCGGGGTGGATAAAGGCGGTTGGGGGCGGGGCGCGCAGTGTGTTTGCGCCGCGGGAGAAGACGTGTTGGCAGCCTGTCTTCTGAAATGGCCTGCAGCCCGCGAAGCCCCCCCAGGTACCGGAGCCGCTGCGACCTCGACGCCAGGTGAGGGCGGGCCGCGCGCTGCGGGCGGGCCAGGCGGGGGCACGGGGCGGCCGGGGGCGCGGTCCCGCTCGCCCGTCTTGACGCGGCTTCTCGCCCGCAGCCCGCCGCCCCCAGCGAGATGGAGCCTCGGGCGCAAGCGCAGAGCCGACCGCCCGCATGGGGTGTCGGAGGACGCCGAGGTCCCCGCGAAGCCGGCGGACGACCGAAGACCCGATAGGTGAGCCCTGCGCGCACTCCGGGCAGCAGGCGCCGGCGGCGGGATGGTTACGGTGGCGGTGTGTCAGGCTCCGGCGCCACCCAGCGCGACTGCGTGGTCTTTGAGGACCCCAGGAGGGGCCCCGGGGGAGGGTGTCATCACCTTAGCCGGCCGCCCCTTTGTAATCCCGGGCACTTGGGCAGGCTCAGCCTTGGGGGGTGTGGTGTCGAGGCCGCCGAGGTGGCAGCCGAGCGCTTCTCTCCCTGGAGCCTTTTGCAGCATTTACATATTTTCTAGGCCGGGCGGCGCGCTGGAGTGAGGTCACCCAGGGAGGTTCCGCTTTTGTGCTGGTGGCCGGTGCTGGGTGAGGGGGGACGCGGGCCGCCTGAGGCCGGCGGCGCTGGCCCTTTGGTCCCTGGGAGCGTCCAGGCGCCGAGGCCTTTGTCCCGCAGGCGGGCCGCGGACGCGCAGAGGAAGTGGGCGCTGGAAGACTGAGCAGAAGTGCCCGGAAACGGGTGCAGGAGAGACTGGAGGCAGGAGTCCGAGAGCGTGCCAGTGACTTCCGGGGCACAGAGAGGCCCCGGGGTTTTAGAGCTGAGCAGCTGTGTTGTTGGCCAAGTTGGACCTGGTCTGGGGAAGGGTCGGCGGTCAGGTTCCAAAGTTGCCAGGTGAGCAGATGACTTTGAGAGCTAATGGGATCCAAGAGTAGCTGGAGGCCGCTCCTGTGAGTCTCAGGTGCGAGGTGAATGGCTTGTAGAGCTGGACAGGTGAGACAGGAGGGACCCTGCAGGGCCTTGGGCTAGATGTGAGGACTGAAGACCGGGACCGACATCACCACTGTGATCAAGCTCTGAAGTCTTAAAGTGCCCCACAGGCTTACCAGCCACATGGGCCTCCTTCTTCCAGTGCCGTTGGAAGGCTCCCGTCCTTGGCCCTTTCTCCTGCCGCCAGTTCTGCGTAACTGTTGTCCTAAGTCCCCTGTTCGGCCACCAGAGTGGGGTCTATGGGTGGGGCCTGGCCCTGGGCCAGCTGCATGTGGTCACAGGGTGCAGGCTTGGGTCCACCTGGGGTCCTTTCCCTGCTAGTACTCCCGACTGAGGGTAGAACAGGGTGAGCGTAACCTGCCTTGTCTAGGAGATGGTTTTAGCTCCACAGAAGGTAGTCTGTGATGTTACTGAATAGGAGATACAGCAGAAGGTTATTGGTAAGCACCTATTAAACGTTTAGGAATCTGTCGAGGCCAGGGAACCAGACCTGAGCCATGCGACCTGCCTGTGGGGTTGCCCGTGTCCAGCTGGTGGTCAAGCCTGCACCTATGCGTCCGTGACCCAGCCACAGGGTCCATCTTACTTTGGGGTCATTGATTTGGGTTCCTACTCTGCCAACAGTTTTTGGAAAGTTACTTTTGGAAATCCAGCTTGGATTTCTCTGGGCAGGGCAACCGGAGAAGAAACGATAACTTCATAAAGGGACGAATCATTTGTTGCTCTGCTTCCAAAGCATGTAGTTGGTGGGCACACAGGGCACACAGGGCTGCTGATTGTGAAAATGTCAGTGTACATTAATCTGGAGAGACCATCGACTCTAATGGTCGGAATTCCTGGTGTTGAGCCTTACGTTTTCAAGTTGCCTAATCTCAACTGATGACTTCCTTAAGTTCCAGGCGCAGCTGAGCTGTATTCTGTGGAACCCAGCCCTGGGGGCTGCCTTTCCCCATGGACTGAGTCCTAATGCAGTGAAGACTCCTGTGTCTTATCTTGTCCTCCCCACTCCAGTTTTAACTGTGATGCAATGTGTTCTGAATCAGTACTTGTGCATCTGCAAGTAAATCGTAGTCATTGTTTATTAAGTCACTTCATGGTGTTGGTCACTCTGTTTAGCATTAAGTGTGTTGCATGAAATCTTTAAGGTCACCAGAAAATGAACTCATTTTGCAAAGAAGAGAACGTGTTGTCTTAGGCCCCTTCTCAGTGCAGATGAGGCCTTGCTGACGCCGTCTGCCTCCCCTTGGACTCTGTCCTCGCGGTGTAGCCCAAGCTGGCCCCTGGTGGGTGCACAGAGCACGTTCCACCGAAGCCCAGAGAGGCATTGCGCAGCCTCTCAGATGCAGCCAGCCAGGGAGGCCCCGGGGGAGAGTGCGGCGCCCCTTCTCTTGACCCTCCCCAAGCTCCCTTGGGCTGTGTTCTTGTGTCCCAACTGAAAGGACACAGACAGCGTGTCATGGTTCGGGGCGCATTTTTCTTTCTCTGCAGCTTCACCACCCCTGAAGGCCCAAAACCCCGGTCCAGATGTTTGGATTGGGCAAGTGCTGTGGAAGAAGACGAGATGAGGACCAGAGTGAACAAAGAAATCGCAAGGTACGTGTTTCAGATGGCTTCGAAATGCTGTGGTTGGTCCACTCCAGAACACAGCAAGGCAGGCTTACAAGTCTAGTCCCAGACCCACAGCGTCAGCAGCTCCTGGGAACTTGGCAGAAGTGTGGGTTCTCAGGGTGCCCTGCACGCTGGCCTGCTGGAAGGGAAACTCCAGGTGGGGCCCCCAGATGAGTCTGCTTTCCGAGGTCTGAAGACCGCTGTCTTGGTGGCCATGCCTGCGGGCCTTGGCCCGCTGGCAGAGGACCACCGTGATGTTGCCCAGCCTGCCTTGTGGGATGCCGGGCCCACAGGCACGGGAGGTGCTCTCTACAGAGAGGGGGCACACTCCTGACTGACGCCTGGTGCAGGCGGCGGCCCAGCCTGGTGGGGGAGCCCTGTGCCGTTGTGCTCCGGTTCTCCCAAGCTCTGAGCTGCTTCCTCCTCCTGGGCGCCTGCCGGCTCGGGATGCCCCCGTAAACCCTGCTCGTCTCCCTCAGTGACGTTTCACTAGTGTTTGAGAGCCTTTCTCCCCATCGGTGTACGCCCAGCTGAATGAACTTGGAGTTGCAGTGCCGTGGCTTGTGAGAGCCCCAGTGTGTTGAATCAGGAGCTGGCTCTTGATTCCGAGGGGGGTGGGCGGTGCGGCGTGGCCCCACTGCCTCGGGGCTGTGGCGTTTGCAGCCGCCTGCATGGGGAAGGTGCTGGCACGGGCGTGGAGACGTGCGGGTGGCTGAGCAAGGGCACTGGGCGTCGGCAGACGTGGCCCAGCCTTCCAGACCCCCTGTCTTTTTTGGGTGGGCCTTGATTTGTTGGCCGTGGAGCTCGGCTGCTTGCCCTGGTCCGTGTGGTTTCTGTGCTCTGCTCCCAAGGCTCGTAACAGTGCTTTCAGTAACCGGGGTGCTCCATGCCCCCACCCTGTCACCCCTTGCTGGGGACCCTGCCACTCTTCAGTCATGCAGGTGTACCGCTCCGTGTTCCTTGGTTATGTCACAGGTCTCAAATTTGTCCGGCTTTGCAGAGCAGGCCTACTCTGTCTGCGGCCCCTCTGTCCACCACACCCCTGTGAGGGTGCCACCGCCCGAGTAACCTCCAGGCATGTGGGTGCTGGGGGTGGGCGGCGGCCTCACCGTGGAGGGGGCTGTGAGAATTCATCTCACTGTGCTTCATGGAGGGTGACCTGGCAGCTGTCTGACAATTTGGAAGGGGGTTTTTGTCACTCGGGGGTCCTAGAGAGAGATGTGGGGCGGGCAGTGTCTCAGTCCCCACGGGAGCTGTGTGGTCAGTGCTGCTGCGGAAGCCCCGGAGATGAGCCAGTTGTCTGGCCCCCGGGGCCCCAAAAGCGGGCGGCCGCTGACCTGTGGAAGGAGGTCACTGCCACGTGACAGCTGAGACAGGCGTGTGAACTGTCGCTGGAGGCGGTCCTCAGTACCAGTGGCAGAGGATCGGGCCATCGCCGTGGTGGAGGCCGCTGCCTCATGGGGCTGGGCCCCCTCCAAGGTCGAGGCGGTGATCGTGCCCCACAGACACACAGGCCTCTGTCAGGTAGCTGTGCCGTTCGTGGGAAGCCCTTGGTCCCAGCTAACACAGGCACGTGTGTTTTAAGGCTGCAGGGCTCGGGGAGGTAGATGTCCTTGTTGTTGGGGTCTTGCTACCGAAGCTGACTTGTTAGGGCAGTGGTCCCCAGCCTTGCTGGCACCAAGGACCAGTTTGCTGGCTCACCCTCGTTCCCCTCCTGCTGTGCAGCCCAAGGGTCGGGGCCCCGGTGTTAGGGCTTCTCTGGCCTCAAGAAGCTTGTGTCCCCAGGGGCCCGTGGGCACCGGTGCGGTGGTTTTCTCTCAGAACCGCTGGCTTTGGGCACTTGGTTGTCTTCTAGAAGAAAGTGACTGAGGGACATTCAGACGACAAATGGCACAGCAGGCCTGGGCTGCTCCACTCGGCAGCCACGGCACTGGAGCACACGTCCCGGGCTGCCGTGAGAGCCGAAGGTGTCCGTTTCTATGTCTTTTAACAACCGCAACCTTTGCTCGGCTTCCAGATACAAAAGAAAACTCCTCATAAATGACTTTGGAAGAGAGCGGAAGTCCCCCCTGGGAAGGTAGGTGCTGTCTGCTAGCTGTTCTGGGTGGACAGACCTGCGGCTGGTCCGCGAGGAAGGGCGGGGCTGGGGTGTTGGAGGCGTTTACCAGTGAGTCCGCTCTTCACTGGTGGGGGCATTGTGCTGGGCTGGCCGGAGAGTCCAGTTAGTTTTTCCATAAAACAAAAGACATGTTTTTCACTTTCACCCGTAATTTTACTGACTTGGGAATGTCGAGGACGTCAGCCGTGTCCTGCTCGTGGCTCCTCGTGGGGAGAGGCCGGTGCCGCTGCTGAACACCCTCCGATGCAGAAGACGGCCCCACAGCGAGGGGCCGTTTGGCCGGAAGGTCAGCAGTGGCCAGGGACTCCGCAAAGCACGTGTGACGCGTTCCGTCAGTCACGGCACCTTCTCCACACACTACACAAATCTTTTTTCTGTGTTTCAGTTGCATTTTTACCCGCCTTGAAATAATAAGGCCAGAAATGTTTGTTTTAATCCATCTTGAATATTAAAACGGTTGCACAAAAATTCACCAGTTTTGGTGAGTTGTTTTTTTTTTATTAAAGATTTTATTTCTTTATCTTTAGGGGGGAAGGGGAGAGGGAGAGGAACATCAGTGTATGGTTGCCTTTCATGCGTCCCCTGCTGGGAACTGGCCTGCAGGGAACCGGCCTGCAACCCAAGCATGTGCCCTGACTGGGAATCGAACCGCGATCTTGTGGTTCGCAGGCCCGAGCTCAATCTACTGAGCTACACCAGCCAGGGCAGTGAGTTTTTTTTTTTAAACGCATGTTGCTATGACAGGTGTCACAGTACAACCTAATAAAATTGTTTCTGACGAAGTTAAAGACAAATACTGGGGCTCTATTAGAGCGGTACACAAAAATCCAAACGAGTTTTCCGGCCCAGCCAGTGTCTGTTCTGTCCTTGATTGCCATGCACAGTTCTGGACTGTGCCACGGTTATTGGTTTGGAACCCAGAGGACAGACCCCTCCGTTGCTGTGTTTCCGCACTTGCCTGCACCGCGATCTTGGTCGTGAGGGTGTTCCGGTGTCCTTTCGTCCTCTCCAGCTGTGACTCGAAGGCGACCCCGTCCTCAGTGCCGGCTGACCTGGAGACAGATGAAAGCGTCCTGATGAGGAGGCAGAAGCAGATCAACTACGGGAAGAACACCATGGCCTACGACCGCTACATCAGGGAGGTCCCGAGGTAGGCCGGTGGCCGGCCCGGCCACGCCGGGCCCTCTGTCTGCGCAGACACCCAGGTGGTAAAGCTGATCCCGGGCCCGTGTTGGAAAAACCATGGGCAGGAAGGTCTAAGTAAATGAGATAAACATCTTGTTCTTCAGGACTCATAGCTGCGTTATAGCCATAGAGTCATTATAAACACGGTGGGGAAGAGGCGAAGTTCATGTCACACAGATCTTGCCGAGGGCGCCATGAGCACGGCCCGTGTGTTTAGGCAGCTCGTGCTCCCTGCTCCCTCACAGGCACACACCTTAGGATGTTCCGTCCTCCGAAGGACCGGGCTTTGGACACACTTTTCTCAGCACAGGTTGTAGAGCGTCAGAGGAGTCCTAGAGGCGGTGCTCGCTCAGCCGGCGCTTTGCTCGTCTGGAGAAGCCCAGCCTGTAGTGTTAGCTCGTTATCGCAGTGCTGGGCCGGTCTTTGGGCCGGTCCCAGGATGACCTTCCTCTCCCGCAGGCACCTTCGGCAGCCGGGCATTCACCCCAAGACCCCCAACAAGTTCAAAAAGTACAGCCGGCGCTCGTGGGACCAGCAGATCAAACTCTGGAAGGTGGCCCTGCATTTTTGGGACCCTCCCGCTGAAGAAGGATGTGATTTTCAAGAAATGTATGTCTACTGCCTTTCTTTCTTAAGGATTTTATCTATTTATTTTTTAGAGGAGGGAGAGGGAGAGAAGCATGTATGTGATGCTTCTCGTATGTGCCCTGACTGGGGACCAAACTTGCACACCCAGGCGTGTGCCCTGTCCAGGAAGTGAACCATGACCTTCATGGTTTACAGTAGGACGCCCAGCCCGCTGAGCCACGTGGGTCAGGGCTCGTATCGCCTTCTGTTCTCTATTTCTGCAACCCGGGCCCTGACCGAAAGAGCTGTCACGTGGCAATCAGCTATCAAAACAGGTTAGAAAGTCTGGAAACCGGCTGGGTTTTGTTTACTTATTATTTGAGACCATAGACCTGGGAGAGGAAGTGGGGGAGAGAAGTGTGGGCCTGTCGTCCCACTTCCGTCTGCAGTGTCCGCTGGGTCTTGTCTGTGCCCTGGGCTGTCAGGACGACGACACTCTGAGCCACTCGGCCAGGGCCTCTTTTATTTGCTTTTAAGATTAATAGTCTAAAAGTTACTTGACTAATTTATATCGCACTAAAATTTAAGGAAGGTTTTTGCCTTTTCCCTATTGGTTTTTAAATTTGTGTCCCGTTGGGAAGATCTGGGGCCTGAGTACTTGCCACGCGGTCAGGATGCGGTTGAACAGGGAGGTGGAGAGTTCGGCCTCGCTCCGCCGCCTCCTGTAGTTCCTTGAACTTTTGCTTTGTGCGAGGGAGATGTATTAGAAACTGTCGTGTTTGCGACGACTTTCAACGTGGCTTTACAGATGTGGCCTCACAGATGTCATGCCAATGTTTTTGCTAGTGGGACAGTGTCCCCTTTTCTTCATGAGTGAAGAATTGGAGAAATTAGCAACGAGGTGTCATCTGGTCTGTCACTGCCCCTGCCTCCAGATTTTGCCGACAGTCATTGCTTCTGCTGGCAGGGGTGCTCGTGGGTGTGTGCCGCTTCTCGTGGGTGAGACAGCCACACCTCTGCCCGGCTGGGTGGGCACAGTTCAGGCGGCGTGTCCTGGAAAGCTGTTGTCATGGGGCCGCGTGGCCTTAGTGATCAGGCCTGTGGAACTTGCCTGTGGCGTGCGTCTCCTGGCTCTGCTCGGGCTGAGGCCTGTTTGGTTTCACAGGCGCCCCGCAGACCTCGGGGAGATGGAGACGGAATCCGCAGAGAGCAGCTCCGAGTCCCAGGCGAGCTCTCAGGACAACAACTTCGTGAGTGCCTTCCCTTGCTTCCCTCTCAGCGTGTGTCTCAGGCCACTTGTCGGCCATGCACGCCCTTCGTAGGCTGCAGTCTCGCTGCAGTGTGACTGTGACGCTTGTGAGGAGGGGCCCCTCCCCCTTCTCGGCTGACCAGCGGGAGGACTGGTGGCGTTTCTAGGTAGTGGCCTTGGGTTAGGTTTTTGGTTCAGTCCAGCTAATCCCGTTTTCATTGAAAAGGAAAAGGCCTTTCCCTTCTGGCCCCAGCGTCTGCGCAGGCGGGGCCACCAGCGTTCCTTCCAGGCTGAGCTGGATCTGCGCCAGCGAGCGTGCCTAGGGGTTCCCCCCGTTTGCCAGTTGTAGAAGACCCCATGTTTTTGAGTAGGGGGGTGGGTTTCCAAAATTAAAAGCAACTAAATCGCATTTTCAACTCCATAGTTTTTGGCTGGGTGCATGTTTTTGCAGACTCTTTTTAAAAGTTAACTAGAGCGTGAGAAACACAGTGCGACGCTCCCTTGTGGGCGTGTTCATAGGCTGCTGTTCCCATGTGTCCTGAATGGGGGTCAAGGCCACAGCCCTGGCATTTCAGACGGAGCTGCCTGGCCAGGGCTCTTGCAGACTTTTCTGTCCAAGCACATCCACGTCAGTTGTCCATCGTAAAAGTGAAAGGTCAGTCCCTTTATCGTTGTCACGGAGGAGCCCACCTAGTGTCTGCACATGGGCTATACACATGGGCTTGCACATGAGTGTGGCAAGTGTGAGAGTAGGCTCGGCTGGGAAGCCCCGCTCGGCCTTGTGGGACACTCAGGCGTCCCGTGAGGTCATCCTGGACGGTGCACAAGCAGTTGGGAAGCTTGTGCACTAGAGCTGCTCTTCCCCCGCTCAGCTCCGGTCCCTGCCGCCAGGCCCCAAGGCGCTGGCTCTGTGAGCCCGACCGGCACTGCGGTGCACGCGCCCAGCCTGCTCGCACCGTGCCTGGTGTGCCTGCCGGCGGAGCTCCCACGGACTCCTGCAGGTTGTGGCGTCAGCAGTGGCCTCCGCTGTCCTGTGGTGTGGGCTCGGCAAGGGGCTGTCCTCGTCCCCCTTGCTCAGGGTAGTCTGGTGTGGTGGCCTTACCAGTCATGAGGACAGCTGTCACCAAGCCTGCACAACAGCCCCCGAGCCTCCCATCCCAGCTGAGTGGCCGAGGCTCAGAAGCCTCACAGGGTCCCGTAGTTTTCAGTAAGGGGGGTGGGGGAGAGGGGGTGTGTGGTTAGTGGGGTAGGGATTTGACGCGTCCCTCTATAGCAGAGTTAAATGTCGTCCTTGACACTTCATTAGCTACAAGTTTCCACTCGTGCACGCCAGCACTTGTGGGTCTTTGCTCGTAGTGACCAGCCTTAGGCCTGGGGTGCTGGGGCCATGGGAGGCGGCACTCCCTGCCTGGGTGGGGCCAGCCGTGACCACCCACCGCCTGTGTTCCAGGACATGTACTCGGGCACACCCACCAAAGTCAGACACGTGGACTGCCAGCTGGAGGACGAGTTCGACCTGGAAGCCTGTTTAACCGAACCCCTGAAAGACTTCTCTGCCATGAGCTAACCGGGCCACGTGGTGGCCGAGCACGGCACGTCGCCCTGCCTGCCAGGTGGAGGGCCCGCCAAGCAAGCGTGTGCTCATCACACGGCGGCTCCTGTTGATAGTTTGTTATCTCCTGGTGAATTGTTCTTGCCTTATTTTCTTAAGAAACAATTTTATGTATAGTGAGTGGATTTTGCATGTTTTAAGTCATAAATGGAACTAAATCCAACAAAAATCGACCTTGCAGCAACCTTACGAGAGACTCGCCACTCAGTCCCTGCCATCGCGCGCTTGCCCGACGCGCGCTGGAGCTGGTTCCCCGCCCGCATCTCAGGGTGAGGGTGCCGCTGCTCAGACGTCCGGCGTGGGCTGCGCCGCGTCCAGGGGCCAGTGTGGCATCGCCTCTCCACGCTGGTATCTGGGTGTTGGCCCAGTCAGATCCTCTGACATCTTTATGGGAACTTAGTGTTTGGCCTTTTGTCAGTATGTCAAGGTGGTTTTTCCCACGTACAGAGCACTGAGTAGTCAAAGGTACTGAAGGAATAGGTTTTATTAAGTTACACAGTCCTAATGGGGAGCTTGTAAATAGTGTGAGGCGGGCCTTCTACTGGACATACTCCGAGAGTTAGGGCAGCAAAGGGGTTCATGTAAAGTTGCTGTACGTGATGACGTGCACAGATTTTCTGTCCAAATACTCAGCTGTACACTTCTTGTTAAGACTGTTCTGTTTCTGCTGCTTTTGTATGGAATGAGATTGCAAGAATAAAAAGAACCTTTAACCAAATGACTGCGTTGCCAAATGGGCCAGCTGCTGAGACAGTTTCTGTGTTCGGAGGAGCCGAGTGAGCTTCTGTCCTCGCCATGTGATGGGGGGGGCGGGGACAGTGCACGGCAGGGGCAGAACCAGAACTGTGGCCCAGGCTTGTTAATGCGTGTGCGCGTCCCCCCTTCCCCTGCACCCCACTTACCTGCTGAGGAGGCCCTACCTCCGCTTCAGAGCCGAAACTGGAGCGGGCTGTGCAGTGAGTGCCGGCGCTCACCCTGGACACCGCCCCCCCCCCCCAGCAGAGGGAGTGCTGGACTGGACCCTGCCCGCTGTCACCGCCCCGGCCACAGGCCCCAAGCACTCCTTCAAAACTCGCTTCAGCCGTTTCCCAAGGGTTTCGGGACTCGGCTCCAAGCGTTTCTGAAGGGCAGAAGCTGTCCTCGGTCATCCAGCATTTGTTGAGCCCATGCCATGCCGGGCACAGTCCGGCAGACACGGGACCTGCAGGAAGTGGTGCCCCAGTGGGGACAAGATACTAAATGTGGTGTCAGGTCAAAGGGTCAGGGAGTGGGGGGTGGTCCTCGGGTGCTGGGACACAAGTGGTTGGGAGAGGCCTGATAGTGGCATTTTAGCAGGGACAGCCACTGGGGACAAGCACTTACCCCAGACACAGGGCAGCAGGTGCAAAGGCCGCGAGAGGGCTGGTGTGCAGGCTTGCAGCCAAGTTCCCAGGTGCGGGAGGCTGGGCAGTGGGGGCGGGGAGGGCAGGGATGTCACATGCCAGCGTGGTGCCGGAAGACAGGGAGTGACACCACCGAAGTGAGAATGCTGGTCACCTCGGAAGGCTCCTCTGGCTACCTGCCCCTCACTCCAAGGTAGCAGCAGTGCGGCTGCTGGTCCCCGTGCAGAGCGGCCTCGGGCGGTCCCCGTTGTCTCAGGACGGCGGTGAGGCTAATGCCAAGAAATGGCCTCTGAGCAGAGCTGAGGTCAGAGGGCAGCCAGGAGGACGGGGTCTGTGGCCGGACAAAGCATTGTTAAGGCCTCTTTGGAGTGCTGCCTCCGACAGGACTCCCGAGAGACGGGAGCCTTGTCCCTCAGGGCAGGGCTGCTTTGGGGAGGCCTGTGTGTGTGGCATTTGTCAAAGGAACCCCAGTATCCCTCACAGGAGACTACGGAGCTTCTGAAAGAATCACGTTAAATATGCTGCCAGTTCGGACTGAAAAGGACAGCGCGCAGGCTGAGAGAACCACGCAGCTGCAGGCAGGCGCCTTTCCTGGAAAGGGGGCTCCAGAGGGTGGGGCACAGAGGTCCCTGATGCCATCAGAGACTGCTGTGGTCAGGACTCCTTTCCTCCGTGCCCCACCTACCGCTGCCATCAGGAGTGTCTGCGACAGTTACCGTGGTGTGCCAGGGGGTGCGTGTGCCCGGGGGTGGGGACAGAGGGCAGATGTGTCGTCTCTCTGCTCAGAGGTCTCCAGGCTGACGGTCGTCCATCAGGAGCGCCAGTCTCGGGGTGAGGGTCTGGACTTGGGGCTCATGCTGTAGGAGGGCAAGACCCAGAGGCCTGGGGAGGGGGGGTGTGGGGCTCCAAACCGGGTCAAGGTGCTCGGGCTGACGGGAGCCTGTGAGGGAGGGGTCGGGGCTGTGGCGTGGACTTGGGCTTTCCATCAGTGAGGTGGGCAGCTGGGGTGGTCTTGCGCAGGAGCATGATATCTGACTTGGGTTCTAGAAGAATTTGCTGTGGCTGCTAGCTCTTCCTTCACATTTCAATTCTTGGAAGGCTCTGAAGCCCCAAGGAAATCGATCTTCCAGGCTTTTGTGCTTGTCTTTTAATGCTGTTAACATAATCCAGAATTTTCTGTGTGAGCTACAAACCACCAGCTGGTTGGGATGGAGGTGTCCTTGGTCTTGGCCTGGTGTGTGGAAGTGGGAAGTGTGGGAACTGAATTAAGTCTGTCCAGTCTGATGAATTCTTCACAGTTCCAGGCTGACGGCTGCCTGGGTCCCCTTGGTGAGTCATTTTCCTGGTGCCGTGTATCAATGGACGTGCTGGTCCGTCGGGGTGGTGGTCCAACCCCCCCCATCCCCCACTCACTGCTCTCGTGCACTGTGAGGCCATTCTGGCCCATCAGGACCCTGCCCTCCAGGTGCTCTTTCTCAGCAACTTGGCCCTCAAGTCACTGACACCTCTGTCCCTTTGGTAGGACCATGGTGATGCGCACCCAGGTGAGTCAATAGCCTGGACCCAAAGGCTGCACTTCTGGCTTTCTGGACCCAGGTGATAGCTCTTCTGATGATTGCAGAGCTTACAGTGTGGTCTCCCCCCTGCCCCCCATGTAGGCAAATCTGAAAGGCCTGCTGGGTCAAGTCACGTTTCCGGACTCGGCCAACCGTGAGTGCCTTGAGAAGCACCGTGTGAGCTCCCTGCTATGAGCCCGGGTCGGCTGTGTGCATGTGGGGGCTCGGTGTGGGGGGCGTGCTTTTGGATCACTGGGCTGCACATTAACTTTCAGAATCTCGAGGGGTGTTTGTTTGGAGGCTTTTTTCTTAGTTGTCGTTGCTGTGTTCTTTGCTTTTCACATGAAGGCTTTCATTGGACTTAAGCCACTTTGTACAGCTCGCACTCCAGGTAGGTGCGTGCCCGGCAGGTGCAGCAGCCTCCACAGCATGGAGCCGCGGACCGAGGCCCCAGGAGGGAGGTCACTCTTCGGAGTGCGTTGCTTCTTCATCCGTAGCTGCCGGACCTTCCAGCTCCTCCTCCTTGCGTGCTTGTCCGGGAGCCTGCCTTGACCGGCAGTGACTGCACGGTTGGTCACTAGCCGGAGGATTTTGCACCTTCCACAGCTGGACAGTGGACTCCAGCTGAGAAGTTCTTAATTGCTGAGTGATGTGTTCGAGGATAAACTCTCAACCCATAGCTTTAACTTAAAATAATGCAAACTGTTGTGTTCTTTTAAAAAAATGTTTTTTAAATATATTTTGATTATGCTATTACATTTGTCCCATTTCCCCCCTTCATTCCCCTCCACCCTGCACACCCTCTCCCCCCCCCATCCCCTCCCTTTAGTTCATGTTCATGTGTCTTAAATTCTTTAGTGTTTACATTTCCCATACTATTCTTGCCCTCCCCACCGTCTGTGCTACTTATTCTCCGTACCTTCTCCCCCTCCCCCTCCCCTGTTGCTAACCCTCCGTGTGATCTCCATTTCTGTGGTTCTGCTCCTTTCTAGTTGTTTGCTTAGTTTGTTTTTTTTTAGGTGTGGTGGTTAATAATTATGAGTTTGCTGTCTTTTTACTATACATGTTTTTTTATCTTCTTTTTCTTAGGTAAGTCCCTTTAACATTTCATAAAATAAGGGCTTGGTGATGATGAACTCCTTTAACTTGACCTTATCTGAGAAGCACTTTATCTGCCCTTCCATTCTAAATGAAAGCTTTGCTGGATAGAGCAATCTTGGTTGTAGCTCCTCGCCTTTCATGACTTGAAATACTTCTTTCCAGCCCCTTCTTGCCTATAAGGTTTCTTTTGAGAAACCAGCTGACAATCTGATGGGAACTCCTCTGTAGGTGACTGTCCCCTTATCTCTTGCTGCTTCTAGGATTCTCTCCTTCATTTTAATCTTTCTTTTTTTTTTTTTAGTTTTATTTATTTATTTACTTTTAGAGGGGAAGGGAAGGAGAGAAGGAGAGAAATATCAATGTATGGTTGCCTCTCATGAGTCCCCTGCTGGGAACTAACTGGTCTGCAACCCAGGCATGTGCCCTGACTGGGAATCGAACCGCGATCATGTGGTTCGCAGGCCCGCGCTCAATCCACTGAGCTATACCAGCCAGGGCTCTTCATTTTAATCTTGGCTAATGTAATTGTGATGTGTTCCTCCTTGGGTCCACCTTGTTTGGGACTCTCTGAGCTTCCTGGATTTCCTGGAAGTCTATTTCCTTTGCCAGGTTGGGGAAGTTCTCCTTTATTATTTGTTCAAATAACTTTTCCACTTGTTGATGTTCCTCTTCTCCTTCTGGTACCCCTATAATTCAGCTGTTGGAACATTTAAAGATGTCCTGGAGGTTCCTAATCCTCTGCTCATTTTTCTTCATTCTTGTTTCTTCATTCTTTTCTGTTTGGTTGTTTCTTCATTCTGGTCCACTCCCTTGATTTGAGCCCCAGTTTTCTTCCCATCAGTATTGGTTCCCTGTGCATTTTCCTTCATTTCACTTATTGTAGCCTTCATTTTTTCATCTAATTTGTCACCAAATTCAACCATTTCCGTGAGCCTCCTGATCACCATTGTTTTGAACTGTGCATCTGATAGGTTGGCTATCTCTTGGTCGCTTAGCTGTATTATATCTGGAGCTTTGATCTGTTCTTCAGTTTCGGCAATTTTTTTTTTTTTGTCTTGTCGGGCCTGTTACATATAAGGGGTAGAGCCTTAGGTGTTCACCATGGCTGGGCAACCCAGTTGCTGGGTTGTGACGCTCTATGTGGGGGCGGGGTCTGAGAGGGAACAATGACACTTGCTCCGCTCTTTCTGATTTCAGTCCCTTCTGCCACTTCCCCCAAGCAAACTGGGCCTCTCTGGTACTGATTCCTGGGTGGGCGGGTGGGCTTGTGAATGTTTGAGGACCCTGTGGGTCTCTCCAACAAACTCTCCTGTGAGGCTGGGAGTTTTTCCCTGCACCTCAACCCCCACAGGTGTTTTCAGTCAGTGTTTTGAGGCTTTATTTCCCAGCGCTGGGGCCCTGGGCTGTGGTCTGTCTTGCTCCCCTGTTATCTGCACGTGAATGTGGGACTTCTGCCCGGTCAGCTGACCTCGCTTTGCCACCCCGCACCCAGGGTCCGCCCTCTGCTGTCTTGCGCGCCCGGTGTCACCACTTCTTGTGCCTTGACCCCTCCCTGCTGTTTGCGGAAGGCTGCCCCGCCTACCGGTCTGGATGAATGTGTCTATTTCAGCTCCTTGGCTGTCCGACTTCCATATAGTTCAATTTTCTGTCAGTTCTGGTGGTTATTTTGTTTCTAAATTTTTGTTCTTATTTTGGTTGTGGGAGGAGGCATGGTGTGTCTACCTACGCCTCCATCTTGGCGGGAAGTTGGCAAGTACCCGCTGTAAGCTCTTAAAGGAACCATTGCTTTCTGTAGTAAAATGCCTTCAGAAGGTGCACATACAGCTTCACGTAAAAATGTAAAAATGCTTCCTCAGCGTAGGTGGGGGGGAAGCAAAGACTCCAGATACAGGCACTAGGGGGCTTCAGGGATGGCCTCCCAGGAAAGGCACTGAGTGGACAGGGCCCTGGAGTGCGCTGCCCGGCCCGAGTGTCAGGCGCTCTGTGTAGGGCGAGGAATGCAGACCTGCCATCCAGGCCCAGCTCTGTCCCTTCTAGCTGTGTGACGGGGCTTCGTGTCGCTGTCCATAAAACCGGGATAAGTGTCTACTTCATAGGCTGGTTCTAAGAATTAAAGGACAGCGTGGATGCCATTTGCTCACTAATTAATGCTCAGTGGCAGCAGCTGTTACGGTGGCGGAGAGGCCCCAGGGGCCCCTGAGTCCCAGTGAACAGGCTACACAGGCCCAGTTCTGGATCCCAACTTCCACCTCACACACCAGCAGTTACTTTCCAGTGGGCCCCAGACTCCAGTGTTAAGTGTGAAAGTATCACATTTGTGGAAAAATCACTGGAGTTTAGAGTTAGGCAGAGGTTTTAGACTTGACACCAAAAGCACAATCCACAAAAGGAAAACCTGTGGAACTGGCCCTGGGGCAGAATGAAAACGTTTTTGTCTGTGAAAGGCCTTGGGAAGAGGATGACGAGATAAGCTGCAGGAGGAAATCCTTGCAAAGCACGTCTGCGACAAAGGCCTTGCACCTGAAATGTATAAAGAACTCTTAAAACTCAGCAGTGACAAATCTCATGAGGAAGCGAGCAGAGAGGCGTAAGAACCTGTAGGTGGTTGGTGAGACCGCCATGCCCGCGCTTGTCTCCCGTTCAGGAGCAAGGCGTTCTCGCTGTTCCATTCAGAGGAAACCTTGGGTATGTCCGTCACCTTCCGGGCAAAGGTCTGGAAACCTCACGTCTACGCACAGGAACCCGACTGTTGAGGATGGTACTTTCCCGGACGTTCCGCCGTTTGTCAGGAGTGAAAAGCTTCAGCCCCCACTGCTGTGTGTGGACTATGGTCCACATCAGAAGCTATTATCACATGCTGGCCCTATGTTCTCTTGGTACTTCTTTGTAGAGAACATGGTTTGGTATAAATAACGGCACTTTCAATTCTTCCTTTCCAGGCCTTATAACTTGTCCTTGTTTTTTGCCCTGTTGTGTTACTGATGGCCCATAGCAGGCTCCTAAAGAGACTTTGCTCAAGGTCACACTGTGGTCACCGGCACAGTGGGTTCTGTCCTGAAAGTGGGGACCCTGGAGTTGCAAGGCAGATACCCTGGAATGGCCAGGTGGCCGGCGGGAACAAATCGTTCCTGCCAGCCAGATACACCGGTCTTCTTAGTCCGGAGACCTACCCCTGCCTCAAGTCGCAATTGCTGCCCGCCTTCGCAATCGCGGAAAAAGTTGTCTAGAAAACACCCACATCCCCGCATGCCCCGCCCTTATACTGGTGCAGCCCTTCCCTGCCGCCGCAGGCTCCGACCCAGATGCAGCCCCGCCCTTCCCACAGCATGGGCCCGCCCCTGGCGTTTCAGTCCCCGCCCATCCAGGCGCAGCCCCACCTCCCCCTGAGCGCTGAGGGGCGGTGCGTCGTGGGCGGGCCATGGCCGCGGCTGGGCGGCCAATGAGCGCCGCAGGAGGGGGCGTAGCCGCACGGTGTGGTCCTTCACGGCTGAAGCGCATTGGGCATTGCGGGAACAGCGTGGCCTGCGGGACCGGCGATTCAATCGCTCAGCCTGGCCGGCGGTGGCCGCCGCTGCTCGAACACACTGAGGTACCAGCCTGGCGTCGGCCAGCGAAGCGGCGACCAGCGCGCCGACGCCCGTGCGTGCGCGCCCCTCGGGGTCGTGCGCGCGCGCGCCGGCGCGGGACCGCGTGTGAACTTGCACGGGACTGTCCGGCTGCTGTCAGCGCTCACAGCCGGGCCAGGGCGGCCGGATGCTTTGCCACCCGGGTCGGTGCCAGCATTTTCGCCACTGAACCCCGAGGGTGCGGCTGCTGGTTCGCTGAGGGCACGGGGCCCCGGGGCTCGGACCGGGACTGGGACTCTCGCCTCGCGCGAGACTCCTCGGACTGGCCCCGGGACCCCCGCGCCCCGGGACTGCACGTGCGCCCAAGGACCCCTCGCCCTCCACGCATTCCCTGGCTGTAAGGGGTTGGGCCTGGGCCGCGCTGCCACTTGTTGAACCAACGTGGGTGTCGCCTATCTGAGCTGTCTTCGTTCCCGAGGCTGGTGTGCTGGTCATTTTGAAGCGAGAGAAGCGGGAAGTTTGACGTGACACACTGTGCGTTAAGGGAGCTTCCAAGGTGGTCTGAGCGACGTGGGAGGCCGGACCCTCCCAGCGACCTGTGCACGGTGACTGCACGCAGCGCACGGCGTAAGTCTCCGGCTTGGGCGGTGGAGGGAGGCGCTGGCTGCTGCGGGTGCACGGTGCTTGGTCTCGCCTGTTCTTCCTGTCTTCCCAGTACGGGACTGCTGGGAGTGCGTCTAGGCAGGACGATTTGCATTTTGTCACGAGTACCGCTGCTTTGATTCTGAGCTTCCACAACTTTAAACACGTCAGAAAACCCCTCCAGTCGACTCTTTGACGATTGTTCAGCGCTGAAAACTTTTTAAAGATGGGTTAGACATCAAGGGCCTGCTTCAGTTTTACGGTATTTAAGGAATTGAACTTGAGTCTATAGATGCTGCCTCTTCAGACGAGTCAGCCATCACCTCACTCCCTGTGATTGAGTGTGACCCGGGTCCCAGCCGGTCCCAGCAGAGAGGGGCAGCCTGTTTGTCGCACTGATGGTAGACTCTACCAGGTAGAGAATGTAGGAACACTTCGTCCTGGTTATTTCGAAGTTCTTGAGTATGCCTCTGAAATTGAAATTGTATGGAAACAGTGACTTTTCTTTAAAAATGGGTTAGTTAGTGCAGGAGTTCTAGTCTTCGTGGCATTTCCCCTGCTCAGGAATTCTGGGTCTGGCCCATGTCCCCTCCCACTCCACTGTGGGTCGTGGGCAGTGGCTGTAGCAGGCCTGGTCCCCTCCTGTGGCTCAGTAGATGACCCCTCTTCGTCCCCTTCACGTGTATGGCCTGGGACTGGTCTGGGGCTCTGTCGCCCTGCACACTGTGTGGTGCCACTTTGAGGCTCCCACTGCAGGGAGGCCATCGTCATGGCCCACCTGTGACATTGTTTGATTTAGGTTGAATCCGGGGGCCACAGAGGGGAGCACAGTCCTTGTTGCTGTGGGGCGTACGCAATGGAGAAAACGCCAGAGTCACTGTCTTTTTTTTTTAAGTGGCTGCCCTGGGACGTCTCCTTGTCACAGAGACAGTTACCCCTCCTGCCCAGGGAGCGGGCGTTTGGGGAGGCTCCTCTGCTTTCATTAGGAGAGAGGAGAACCAGGGGACACTTCAGTGTTTTTCCCAGGTGCATGGCAAACATGGAAAAAAACTTTTTTAAAAGTGAGGGAAAGAAACATCAATGTGTGGTTGCCTCTCACACGCCCCCTACTGGGGACCTGGGCAGCAACCCAGGAGTGTCTCCTGACAGAATTGAACTGGGGACCCTTTGGTCCACAGGCCAGTGCTCAATCCACTAAGCTACACGGGCTGGGAAGAACCCAATATTTTTAAATACAGACCCTTTCAGCTTTTTCTTTTTTTTAAAGATTTTATTTCTCTTTAGCGGGGAAGGGAAGGAGATAGGGAGAGAAATATGAGTGTATGGTTGCCTCTCGTGTGTCCCCCGCTGGGAACTGGCCTGCAACCCAGGCATGTGCCTGGACTGGGAATCGAACCGCAATACTCTGGTTTGCAGGCTCAAGCTCAATCCACTGAGCTACACCAGTCAGGGCCCTTTCAGCTTTTTCTACAGCAGTATCTTTTAAGGGAGAGTTGACTTTCACACTTTTTAAAGCATCTGTTATAAGTGGTAGTCATTTAAACACGTATGTCAGGAACCCGGGCGTTTTCTTGCGTGTTGTTTAATTTGATTCCTTGTGGCTTGAAGTGGGTGGTTCTTTTCTGTTTTCAGTCAAGGAAACACAGGCCCAGCGAGCCCAGCCAGGGTGCAGCCGGCCGCAGTCAGGACCTGTGCCTTCCGTCCAGCCGGTGGGAGCCCACCAGTGTCCTTTCTGTCGTAGTGAAATTACGTGTCTGCTTGCACCAGGAGAGCGGTGACCATGACAGCCTCCGTTTTAAGACGTGACTTTGCGCCTCGTTGACTCGCAAAGCTCCATGTGAGGCCTCGTTTCTGTGCACTTTTAAACTCAATGTCCTGCCGTCCAGACTTGCTGCTTGCGGGCCGTAGAGTCAGCGAGGCGTTGGCGGGTTGGGACCGGCCATTCTGTCCTTGTGCTGCAGCCCTCAGAGGGACGCGTGCAGTCCTGGAGGCAGTCCACCGGCAGTGCCAGCGGTGGCACCAGCATAGGGCCCCCCCCCCAGCTTCCCTCGGGACTGCTGCGCAGGGCGCCTGCATGTGTCCTGTTCAAGAGCCAGCGGCACCTGGGTCCCGCCAGATGAAAACAGGCGGTTGTGGTGGTCTGCACTGCCCTCACCTGCACGGCCATGTCCTTCTTCTCGCCTGCCTCCCTGGCTCCAATGGAGAGGCGGCCTTTGGCTCTGTCCGCCTTGTTAAGGGTCACTGCTGTGGTTGCTGTGGCAGGCAGCACACTGTCTCCAGAGTTGGTGGCGTCAGACCACCTGCATTGTTAGTCATTGCCCGTGGCCTCAGGGGTACAGGGTTTTGGAGCACGTGGCTGGCAGTCCTCGCCCGGGTATCTTGTGCAGGCTGCGCCGAGCGGGCTGGGCTGAGTGTCCCTCTCAGGCATCCCTGCTCTGTGCGTTGTACCTGGGCCCAGGACTTGGACCGCAGGGGCTCCGACCTTGATTCTCTGGTCGCCCCCTGGGGTCTCCCAGCTGAGGGCTTTCTGCGTGTCCCAGAAGAGAGCCAAGTGGCTGTGGCACGTGTTCCACTGCAGGGAAGTCCTCTGGGCTCTGTCACGGTCACAGGGAGGTCACCCCCACCCTTTAGTGGGAGGCGGGTCAAAGAGCTACAGTCCTGTGCTAGCCCGCTGCACTCGAGGTGGCCAGTTATTGACTGTGTCCAGCCAGACGGCAGGTCATTAGCCAAGTGCTGTTTGAGAGAAAACTGGAGAGAAAGAAAGCTCCGCCGACCTTGAGATGGTGCCACTGTGTGGGCCATGGGGTGGGCTCAGCTCGACGCTCCTTGGATTTGGGGGGCTCTGCTGTGAAAAGCCCCAGGAACCTGGTGCTCTCGGGCCTGCAAGCGGGTGGGCACCGGCCCCTTCCTGGGAGACACTGTGGACTGAGTGCCGCTGTTCAGGTCTGGGCACAGCAGACCGAGCCGTACTTGGAGCCCGTCCTGCTCCATGCTGCAGAGGCCACCGTGGACAGGCGTGCGCAGCTGGTCCAGGGCCCAGATTCACACTTGGCATCTGATCTGTCACCTGTGAAGGGCCCGGGTTGAGGGCCTCGCCAGGCCCCTGCTCGGGACTCGGGGGTGGGGGTAGCTCCCACTCCAGGCCCCCCACCTGGGGCTCCAGCCCTGCTGTCCGCACAAATGTATTTATGCTGCTTGTTGTTGCCAGCTTCTCCTGTGTCTCAAGCCCCTGCTGGTGGGGGTGCAGGGGTAATGTGTGGCTGGAGGCAGCGTGGACCGTAGGTCCTCTGTCTCAGTGGGCATGGAGAACCAAGGTGGCAGGCACAGACACCCCCAGAGGAGCCAGGGGACCGAGGGCACTGGAGCAGTGCGGTGCAGGCCCACACGGATGGTTAGCAGACAGCCCTGCGCAGGGGCACGGCTGCAGGGGGCCTCCCTGGAGTGTTCAGAGGTGGGGCGGGCCTTGGGGGTTGAGCACAGGAAACAGAAATCACTGTGTCATTGGCAGGTGACATGGAGGGCAGTCCTGGGAGAAGAGCAGCAGCAACAGGAAGGCTGGTGGAGACTGAAGGCCAGGGCCAGCCCAGGAGGCCAGGGTCAGACCAACAGCGGCCCCAGAAACAGACCGGGGAGGGGGAGGAAGGAGCCTGGCAGTGGCGAGGCCCCGGGAACTCCTCCAGCACCGGTCGGGAGGAGACCCCGAGAGCCCAGCAGGCATCCAAGGAGAGGCGGCATGGGCGTTCCCCACCCACCCACCCAGGACACCCACTCAGGAAGCTGGGAGACGAGGGCAAGGGAGAGCCCCAGGACCCCGCTGGACAGCTGCACCCCAACCTGCGTGGAGGCTGGGGGTCCAAAAGTAGGGGCTAAAGAGGGTCCTGATGTCTTCAACCAAATGGGAGTTGTCAAGTTTTATTATTGTTTCTTTTCTTTTTAAAATTATGTTGTACTGATTATGCTATTGGTTTTCCTGATTTCCCCCCCTCGGCCCCCTCCACCCTGCACCCCCACTCCCCCAGGCAGTCCCTCACTGTTGCTCCTGTCTGCGGGTCGTGCGGGTGTGTTCTTTGGGAACGCCATTTCTGTAGTTCACGTCCGTGTGGCTGCTCCACTCTGTATCTGACTGTCTGTGCTTCCTCATCCCTCACCTCCTCCCCCACGCCCCCAACCCCCTCCCATCTGGCAACCACCAAAAAGCTCTCATATCCGTGACTCTGTCTCTGTTCTTCTTTGTGTGTAGTTTTGTTTTAGATTCAGTTGTTGACAGATATGCATTTATTGCCATTTTAAAAAAGATTTTACTTATTTTTAGGAAGAGGGGAAGGGAGGGAAAAGAGAGGGAGAGGAACATCAGTGTGTGGGTGCCTCTTATGCGCCCCCAACTAGGGACCAGGCCCGCAACCCAGGCCTGTGTACTGACAGGGAGTTGAACTGCTCACCGTTCAGTTTGCAGGACAGCGCTCAACCCACTGAGTTATGCTAGCCAGGCATTTATTGCCATTTTATTGTTCATAGTTTTGATCTTCTTTTTTCTTTTTCATTTTTAAAAAAGATAATTATTTTATTTACTTTTTATTTTTTATAAATTACTTTATTGTTGTTCAGCTACAGTTGTCTGCATTTTCTCCCCATCCCTCCCCCCCAACCCCAGCCAAACCCACCTCCCTCCCTTGCTTCCACCCTCCCCCTTGGTTTTGTTCATGTGTCCTTTATAGTGGTTCCTGCAAACCCTTCTCCCCACCGCCCCCCCTGGCTGTTGTTAGATTGTTCTTATTTTTAATATCTCTGGTTATATTTTGCTTTCTTCTTTCTTTTGTTGATTATGTTCCAGTTAAAGGTGAGATCATATGGTATTTGTCCCTCACCACCTAGCTTATTTCACTTAACGTAATGCTGTCCAGTTGCGTCCATGCTGTTGCAAAGGGTAGGAGGTCCTTCTTTCTCTCTGCTGTGTAGAATTCCATTGTGTAAATGTACCATAAGTTTTTGATGCACTTATTTGCTGATGGGCACTTAGATTGCTTCAGGCACTTGGCTATTATAAATTGAGCTGCTATGACCATTGGGGTGCATAGGTTCTTTCGGATTGGTGTTTCAGGGCTTTTAAGGTATAATCCCAGCTGTGGAATCACTGGGTCAGAAGGCAGTTCTATCTTTAGTTTTCTGAGGCAATTCCGTATTGTTTGCCACAGAGGCTGCCCCAGTCTGCACTCCCACCAACAGTGCACTAGGGTCCCTTTTTCTCCACACCCGTCCAGCGCTTGTTTGTGGATTGGGTTATGATGGCCATTCTGACCAGTGTAAAGTGGTATCTCATTGTAGTTTGAGTCTGCATCTCTGATGGCTAGTGAGGCTGAGCATCTTTTCCTGTGTCTCTGGGCCTTCCGTGTGTCCTCCTTGGAGAAGTGTCTGTTAGGTCTTTTGTCCGTTTTTTTATTGTTGTGTGTGTGTGTGTGTGTGTGTGTGTGTGTGTAGGGGAGTTGTATGAGTTCTTTATTTATTTTGGACATCAAACCCTTGTCCGAGATATCACTGGCAAATACGTTTTGCCGTATAGTTGGTTCTCTTCATTTTTTTTTCCTTTTTTTTAATTTATTTTTTTAAATTGATTATGCTGTTACAGTTGTTCTATTCCCCCCTTCATTCCCCTCCCCCCTGCCCCCCATCCCCACCATTACCCCCCCTTTAGTTTATGTCCATGTGTCTCAAGTCCTTTAGATTCTATATTTCCCATGCTATTCTTGCCCCCCCCATCTATTTTCTATCTACTGTCTATGCTACTTATTTTCTGTACCTTCTCCCCCCTTCTCCTCCTCCCACTCCCCTGTTGCTAACCCTCCTTGAGATCTTCATTTCTATGTTTCCACTCCTGATCTAGCTGTCCTTTTAGTTTGCTTTTGTTTTAGGTGTGGTTGTTAATAGCTGTGAGTTTGTTGTCCTTTCACTGTTCATGTTTCTTTAACTTCTTTTTCTTAGATAAGTCCCTTTAACATTTCATATAATAAGGGCTTGGTGATGATGAACTCCTTGAATTTGATCTTATCTGAGAAGCACCTTATCTGTCCTTCCATTCTAAATGAAAGTTTTGCTGGATAGAGCAATCTTGGTTGTAGGTCTTTGGATTTCATGACTTGGAATACTTCTTTCCAGCCCCTTCTTGCCTGTAAGGTCTCTTTTGAGAAATCTGCTGACAGTCTGATGGGGACTCCTTTGTAGGTGACTGTCCCCTTAGCTCTTGCTGCTTCTAGGATTCTCTCCTTCATTTTAATTTTGGCTAATGTAATTATGATGTGCCTTGGTGTGTTTCTTCTTGAGTCCAACTTTTTTGGTACTCTCTGAGCTTCTTGGATTTCTTGGAAGTCTATTTCCTTTGCCAGATTGGGGAAATTTTCTTTTATTATTTGTTCAAATAAGTTTTCCACTGGTGGCTGTGCCTTTCCCCCCTTCTGGTACCCCTATAATTCGGATATTGGAGCATTTAAAGATGTCCTGGAGGTTCCTAAGACTCTCCTCATTTCTTTGAATTCTTGCTCCTTGACTCTTTTCTGTTTGGCCATTATTTGCTTTCTTCTGGTCCACTCCATTGATTTGAGTCCCAGTTTCCTTTTCATCGCTATTGGTTTTCTGTGGAATTCCATTCATTTCCATTAGTTTCGCCTTCATATGTTTCTCTAATTTGTGGCTATAATCAACCAGATCTGTGAGGATCCTGATGACCAGTGTTTTAAATTGTGCGTCTGAGAGTTTTGCTATTTCTTCGTCGCTTAGATTTATCTCTGGGGCTTTGAGGTCTTCTTGCGACATTTTTGGTCTGTTCTGGCCCTTTAAGTGAGAGAAGCGGCGCCTTGGACTCCCAGGTCGCTGGGTTGTGACGCTGTATGTGGAGGCGTGGTCAGAGCTGGGAAATGGCGGCGCCCACTACCACCGCGGCCGGTCCAACCGCCCACTCCCTCGCCTGTCCGCTCTCGCGCAAATAGGCGACCGCAGTCAACACGCAGCACCGCTCCCCACTGTCTCCTCTGCAGTCGCTCACCTGGTGGGTTGCTCCGTCGCTCACTAGATCCAATCCTGCGTTTGGAACCCGTGCGTCTGGATTTGCGCATCTGGATTCCGCGCCTGGGTCTGTCCGACCGAATCCTCCTGTGCAACCCCTCACCAGACGCCGGTTTCGCCCCTGTGCCGCGCTGTCGGTGTGGGGACTGCGGGCGTTGCCGGGGAAAGTGCACATGGCTTGTCACAGGCTGCACTGTGTCCCCTGAAAACTGCTCCGGCGAAGCCGGGTCCCAGTGGCTCAGAACGTGGCCTTGGAGGCAGGGCTGCCACAAAGGGAATGGGCTGCGACGCGCTGGTGCTGGAGCGGGGTGGGTCCCAGTGCAAAGCCCCGGGTGCTGGACGCAGCCACAGGGAGAGCGATCGGGGGCCTGTGTGCACCGTGACCTGACTTTTGCCTTCCAGGCTGCGAAGCCGTGAGCCCCTGCTGTCCAAGCCCCCGGTGCGTGGTCTCTCGTTTCGACAGTCCTGGATCCTCTCGTGTGGCTGGACAGGTGTGTACTGTCCATGTTAAGAAACTGAGATGAAAAATCAGGGAATGGGGCCCTCACAGCGCCTTTCGGAGGCGGGTCCACCGAGAAGGAGGGCGGAGAGAGCAGCCGGCCAGGAGGCTCTCGTCACGGTGCAGGTCGGAGACGGGCGTCTGACGAGGGCGGGCCCCACCCTCCGTGCTGTCTGTGGAGTGCCCGCTGTGTGCCCGCCCCTCCTGGGGCCCGGGGCAAGGGGCAGGAGTGAAGAGGAGACCGGAGACTGTGGGCGGGCACTGTCTGTCTGTGGGCTTGGGCCCTCCTGTTGGTGAGCGCAGGGGACAGCTCTTGGTGGCAGTTCTCTGCCCCTGCCTCTCCGGGGCTCAGTGCCCTCCCAGCGCGGACTCTGCGCCCTCCCTGCACTGCTGCCCCGCTGGATGGCGTGGGGGGGGGTGTTCCACTGCACTGGGAGGTGCTCAGTGGGGAGGTGGGCATCCGGGTGTCTGGTCAGCGGGGAGGTGGGCACCAGCAGTTTACAGGCTGCTCTTGGGTTTCTGCACGGCTGGCTCAGACTCAGCTTTCCAACACCTTCCGGCTTCCGGGTGCTGCTGCCGTGTCTTCCCTGCTGTCCCCGTCCGTCTGGAGCACAGAGGGGCCTTCCTTGTTGCTTCAGTCGGGCTGTGGGAGGAGCCGTTCTCAGGTGCGTGTGCAGCCTCCCGTCCTTCAGGTAGAAGCTGCTTTCACCCATTTCCCCGCAGAGAACCAGCCTGGGTGTTTGCCAGCGGGAGAGCCTCTGTCAGTAGGGGTGTGACAGGTGTCTTGCTCAGCTGGTGCTCCGCATGGCACAGACACATTGCCCGGGCGGTTCTGTGTGTGGTCACAGGCAGTGATGTCTCTTTACTGGCACCAGACGCGGAGCTCCAAGGAGGCGTTGGAGATGGACCGCTCCCCTGCGCAGTGGAGGTGCGGCTGGGAGGGCTAGTGCACCCCCCGCAGCGGCCAGGCCAGCTGAGGAGCCCCATGTCCCGGAGCCCCGGCGCCCGGCGGTGTGGACAGAGCCGCCCCGACCATGGTCACACTCATCACTGAGAAGCTGCAGAGCCAGAGCCTGGACGACCTTGCCCACAAGAGCCGCGACGCTGGCCCGGTGAGCCGGGGGCCTCAGGCTCGGGTGGGGGTGGGGGCACGCAGTCCCAGAGCCTGTCAGCCTGTCGTGGTGGTGCGTTTTCAGCATCACTAAAAAACCTGGCCGTGAACAGAGTCTGAGCTGCATGCCGAAGTGTGCGGCCTGAGTGTTGCCCTGGCAGCCAGCGCCCTGCGGCGGCCCCTCCCGAATGGGCTCTGCCCTGGCCTGGTGCCTTTGGTTAGTTCTACCTGGGTCTGAAGTTCGTGTCCATGGGCCGTGGTCCAGGGTCGCATCAGCATGGATTTCGGGACCCACCCTGCTCTGGTCGGAGTAGGTCCCGGGAGGGGCTGAGCGCCTGACCCCTGCTCTCCCCGAGACAGGGTGCTCAGAGCTGCCTGGCTCCGCACCCCGGCCTTCGCTCTGTGGCTGCCGCTTGTTAAGGTGATGAGAGGGGGGCTGGGGACCCGAGTCCTGCGTGCCAGGTACGGGGCCCGTCGTGACAGCAGACGGCAGACGGGGGGTCCGCTGGGCAGACGCGGGTGCTCCGTCCCACGGGGCAGGAGGCCGAGCTGCCTCGGGGCCTGTGCCCACAGCCGTGGACCAGGGCCGCCGGGGAGCCAGGCTCAGGGGTGTCCGGTGGGGAGGGCTCGCTGAAGCAGAGCTGAGTGGTGAGGTTTTCGAGGACGTGTGCAGCTCAGGGGACCGGCGGGTGGCGCTGCAGGAGCAGGAGGGGACACGCTCATGGCTTCCCGTTCTCTTCACACAGCCGAGTGTGGTCAGGCTGCGAGCATCTCGAGTAAGAAGAGGGGGGCTGCGTGAGCAGGGAAGGGGTGGAGGTGCACATGGGCCGAGGCAGAGCAGCTGCGGGGGCAGGAGGCAGGCCGCCGCGTGGCTGTGCCGGGCTGGCCGTGCCCTGAAGGCCGTGGCTGGGGGAGTGGGAAAGGCGTCTGGGACTCCGGGCTCTTCTGTTTGGTCACCGAGAGAGACAGCGTCGGGGGACAGACTTCCTGGCGGCGATGCAGCGGACCGTGTCTGGAGTTCCCACTGCGGCCGGAGTTTCATGGGAAACTTCTCTGTCTTATCACGCAGTGTTCTGCGGAGAAACCGGACGACAGAAGTGGCCCTCTGTCCCCTTTCGAGACCTGTGGTGAGTGCTCACAAGCCCCGGCCAGGGAGCAAATCGGAGCGCCTGCGCCTGGGGCAGGGGTGGCACCCTGACCGGAAAGGCCTGCGCCTGGATCCCGCGGCCACTGCGGGTCCACACCCTGCAGCTCTAGCGTTTTTGTGGCGAGGGGAGTCGTGCCCTGGAGTGGGTGGGTCTGCTGGGGGACCCGCACACAGGTGTCCTGTGGTCTGAATGGGGGGGACAGGGGGCCCAGCCCCCCCGGGTGAGTGTGGGAGTGGGGGAAGGTGTGCTCGTGAGTGTCCCGTGACGTGTAGGTGGTGGGAGCCGGGTCTCGTCCGCCCCGTCCGGTCGCCTTGGCTGTGCAGCCCTCTCGTGCTGCTGGGAGGCTCAGGTGGGGGGCTGCAGCGGACACAGCAAAGTGACGGGGTGGGAGTGGGAGGCGTGGCCCTCCCCAGCGGTTCTTCCCCTGGAGGCACTCCTGGGGGGCGTGGAGGTGGTGGCACAGCCACGGCATCCGCCCCGAGGTCCGCCCCGCGGTCCGCCCCGCGGTCCTCCCTGCACCCTGGGGGAGGGCAGGGGCACAAGGGCCTTGCTGCCCAGGGAACGCAGCTGGGGCCCCTCGCCGACCGCCTGTGTGCCCGAGGTGGGGGCTCTGGCGTCCGCAGCACCTGTGCCTCAGCCGCAAGGCCCGGCTTTGTGTCCGGTGACAGCGGCTCCACCCCGAGGGTAGCGGGGCCTCCTGCTCACCTGTGTCTCTCCTTCCTTTTTCCTTAGGAGACAGGAGCCCCGGGAAGGCCCTGAGTGGAGGACTGTCCAGCAGAAGCCAGGCCACTGCGGGCCCCACACTCCCCTTCCTGCTGGGCCCCTGCGGCATGAGCGTGGGCCTGGGGGCGGTCACTTCCGGGGATGTCAGGGAGAGCCCCGGGCCCCCCTCGGCCCCGCCCAGCAAGCGCCACTGCCGCTCCCTGTCGGAGCCGGATGAGCGGGCCCGCTGCCGGTCTCCGTGGCGCCCTGGTGGCTCTAGGGTCTGGACTGCGGTCTCCAAGCGGCGGTGCCACAGCGGTGGGAGCTCCTGCCTGCCCGGCGGCACCTGCCCCGTGGCCAGTCCCAGCTCGCCCCCTGGGGCCCGGCCGGCCTCAGCCAGCAGCAGCTTCCTGGACCACAGTGGGGCTGGCGCAGGCCCACCCTGGTGTCGCCGCCTGTCCCTGTCCCAGGAGCACCTGGCCCACGTGGACTCGCCGTCCGAGCTGGGCTGGCGGCTGGGCCTGCTGCGGAGCCGCTCGCAGCCCTGCGTGCTCGTCGGGAGGAAGAGCCAGTTGAAGCGCCGGCGGGAAGAGGACACTCGGTGGCCACGCCCGTCCTTGGACTTTCTGAAGATGACCCAGGTGAGGCCTCTTCCTGTGTCCAGGCGGCCACCCTGCTGGTGCCACTGCTCCACGAGGTGGCCCTGGGAGAGGCGGGCCTGCCTGCAACCATGTCCTCGGTGCCCACACGGCGGGGGGGTGGCGGGGTGGGAGTCGGAGCCCTCGGGAGTGTGGTCGGAGCCAGGGCGCCCCAACCAGCACCACAGTCTCAGCGCCAGCCAGTCCCCTCCTCCAGGAGTGGGGACCCTGGTGGCCCTTTGGGTGAGAGTCTGGGAGGTGGGCAGCTGGGCCAGGGCGTCTGAGGCCGCACTCGTTCCGCCCCGCCCCCGCGCTTCCCCGAGGGCTCTGCACCGTGCCCTCCACCACTCACTCTGCGGGAAAGGGTGCGTGAGGCCCTCGGCTGCGGACCGGCTCACAGACCCGGGGACTCTGGGCCCGTGCTGCCCGCCCAGCCCCTGCCGAGTTCGGCTTGCAGGCCCAAGGACAGCGGAGCAGGGAGCTGGAGGGCGGGCCCAGCTGCCCGGCACTGGGCGGCTCTGTCTCCGTGGGGAGAGGAGGACGGGCAGAGAGGCCACCTGGGGTGTGTCTGTGTGCTCTGGACCGTGTCCCGTCCCCCCGGGGACTTGGGGCTCCTCGTGGGGAGGTGACACGTGGGGCCGGGCCGTGACTGCAGACCGGATGCTCCCTTGTTGAGGTGGGTTGGCTTTTACTGAGGCTTCTGAGAGCAGCTTTTGTGCAGCCTGAAGGGAGGGACTCGAGGGAACAGGCCCCGATGGGGCTGAGGACAGACTGGCCGGGCCAGTCAGTGCACCGGCCCAGCCCGGGTGTGGGGCGGCCGCGGGCCAGGTCAGCCTTGGCCTTGGAGGCGGCCACTACCTGGCTCATCTGCTCTGTCCGGCATCGGCAGGGGGGCAGACACGATGGCCGGCCGGCCCCTGGCGTCAAGGGCACTCGCTCAGGTAGCTCATCGGAGCTTCTCTGGTTTCCACGGGAACGTCCCGGTCACTTGGCCTCGGGGTGCAGCCTGGGCAGTGCCCTGTGTGTCCACAGACTGCCTGCTTGCACACGAGTTGAAAGACCTTTTACAGTTCAGAACCCAAAGTCTTGACCTTTGACTTTGGAACACATATTTTATGTTCGTTTGCCTGTGGGTGGAGGGCCACGCTGGGCCTCTCCCGAGTGTGAGGTGGCCTTGTCCCTGGGTGTGACAGCTACACACTCTCGTCCCTGGGTGTCCCTGCTGCTTGAGGGGTCAGGCGCTCACAGTCTTGGGTGTTGTCCTGGGTGGGGCCAGACCTGGGCCCCCCTGGGCCCCCATTGGGCCTTGTCCGCCCCCAGCTGAGGGCCTGGGCCCGTGTTAGAAGTATGGGGCACCAGGGACACTCAGTGTGACTCGGACCTCCGTGGGGTGCCCCTCCCGGGACCCTTCCAGGGGGGACCCTAAGCGCCTGCTTTTTCTGTTGCAGACGCTAAAAAACTCAAAAAGCCTTGGCTCCCTCGATTTCGAAGGCGAGGACGATGACGACCCCAGAGCGAAGATGGCCGGGTCCTGCCCACGGGACCCACACGGCCTTGTCACCCCAGTCTCCAGCCCCTGTGGCCCTCGGGAGCCAGTGGCCAGCGAGGGCAGGGGCAGTGGGGACCCAAGCACCTGGGACAGCGCCGAGGAGGAGGGCGTCCTGCCGCTGGACCCTGGGGCGCTGGACCTGGAGCAGATTGAGAACAACTGACCCGTGGGGTCAGGATGTGGACGGATCCCAGTTGCCTTGTATTTTGGACGTGATTTTGACTCACTCTTTCTTGAAGGGTGTTTTGCATTGTTTCGGTTTTGACAGTTCTGGGAAGCGTCTCTATTCGGAGGTGAGATCTCAGAGGGCGCTCTGCTGCCCGGCAGAGCCGCGCCTGGCCGGCTCCTTGTGAAGGGCCTGCGGTGGCCCAGGGCGCCGCGTGCTGTTCAGCTACGAGGCCAGGGCCCTGCGGTGCGGAGCAGGCCGAGTGCTGGTCCTGGCAGCACCTGGTGCGACTTCAATAAAAACATCTGCTTTGCACGTGCGACTTCGGCCTGGTTCTCATTCCCAGGTGGGAAGTGGGCCGGGGTGCAGTGGGGGGTTCAGCCGTTGTACCCCCCGAGTTTGCACGGAAGACATTGGCCTGGGAACTTCGGGGACCAGGAAGGAGTTTCTGATGGTGATGGAAATAATCTGTGGGGGATTTTCCCAGTTTTCTTTCTTTCTCTGAGATGAGTGGAGGAAGTCACTCGTGGCAGTCCTGTCGTTAACTGGGTGGGTGGGACCGCAGGTCAGCGGTAGGAAGTGGCGGCTTTCCAGACGGGCCTTCCTGAGGCCAAGCCCCTGCGCCCCACGGTCCCGGTCAGGCTGCCATCGGGGTCCCCCCTGCACGTCCCCACCGCTCACACTGTGCTGGTGGCCCCGGAGGCCCCGCCCGTGCCTCAGGGTACAGTCCCGTAGCGCCCGGTCTGGCTACGTCCTGCAGACCTGAAGTGGCTTCTGTGGTTTCTTATTAATGTCAGAGAATCAAGGGCACTGGGGGGTGCAGGGGTGCATGGGCGGCATCTTGCCGCTCCCTGGGGGCTTCTGGGGGGCTGGGAGGTGGGGTGGGCCAAGCCTCCAGGCCCGTGTCCTGGTTGCTGCTGCCTGGGCCCGTCCGCTGAAGGGTGGCAGACAGGAGTCCCGGGCGCCCCGGGCAGGGAGCCGCCTCCTGTCCTCAGCAGGCCTGTGGCGTGCTCTGCTGCGACACTGTGAGGTGGCGAGCGGCCAGCGGCAGGTCTTGATGGGACAGGAGTCTGTGGGGTCACGGCAGCATCTGGCAGTGTCGCCCGCTCCCAGAGCCACCACCCAGCCACACGGGAGGTGGAGGCGCTGAGTCCCAAACCAGGAGGAAGAGACGGCCAAGGAAAAAGACGACAGGCAAAGAACGAGCAAAGTGGCGTCTCGCCCTGGACGCCCGGCACCCTGAGGGTCTGCTGGGCTCGGCCGAGAGACTGAGCCAGCAGCCACTCCAACTGAAAGGGTGGAGCCCGAGGTGTCGCAGAGCTCGTCAGGGTGACGAGGGGGTGTTAGGAACAGCTTAGAGGGAACAGCGGAGTTCCCGGAAAAACATCGCCTGCGCTGGCTCAAGGAGAGGACGCAGGGACAGCCAGACACACCGGCCTGGCGGCAGCCAGATGGGGGATGTCAACCTGATGGGGACGGGGGCGGGGGGGGAGCTGTGGTGGCCACTGCCCGCCCTGCCTCCTGTCCTTATGCAGGTGCCGAGGGGACTGCGGGGGCAGGGATGGCGCTCAGAGGCCCTTCCCACCTGTGCCCCACCTCTCCCTCTGACCCCGCTAGGGTTCTGTTCGTGTGAAGAGGGTCACAGGCAAGTGGGGTCCGGCTTCTCCAGCGTCCACCCCACCCTTGGCCCTCAGACAGCGAGCGGGGGAGGGGAGGCCTGTCTGCTTTCTCTCCCCCGCCGTAGACCTGGCCCCTCCTGAGCTGGGCTGACCCCCACGGCCGGGCTCTGCTCTGGTGTCCTGTGGGCAGGAAGGGCATCCCCGCCAGACAGCAGTCACCACGGCTATTTCTCCGCAGTGTGGGCAGAGCGTGTTAAAGGCTCTTTCTGTCGATTTGGTCATTCACGCAGTCTTAGTGTAACAGAGCACAGGGCAGGGCCAAAGGGGGGTACGATATACTGTTACCGAAAGGACCCCCCCCAGGTTCGCTTGTCTGCCACCAGAGGAAAGGCGTGTCTCAATGCCAGAGGTTTGTGAAAAGGAAAGGAAATGTTTATTTATAGCTATACAGACTTAGAGTAGTGACCTAATGTCCTCACTAGAACATCGAAGTCCTTTAGGACACCCACAGATGCACACAGCGCTCCCTTCTCCCTCAGCCCTGAACTGGGCACCGTAGCTCAGGAAAAGAAGTCAATTCAGGCTCCCGACACCATCAGCTGTGTCGTCCGCCAGGATCGAGCTGCGTGGTTCTCCTTGGCAAAGCTTCGAGGGAGTCTCCACTCTGCCACAGCTGAGTGGTGATTCTCTGCTAAAGCTGCATGACCCTCTCCTGCCCCCTGGGAATTTGCCTTCACTTGACTGCAGGGGTCCCCACTCTGGCCAAAGCCATGTAGTTCTCCCCACAATGGCTACCGCATCTCGGTAGAAACCCCCGGCCAGTCCTCTGCAGCCCCGTTTCCGACTCCGCCCACAATCAGCCACAGCTGCCGGCACTCCAGCATCCGTCCAGCTTTACTGGGCTGCCATAGTAAGTCCGGGCAGGTGTGGGCCCGTGGTGTGAAGCCAGTCATCGCCAAGCTCTCACGCATGCGCACTGTAACCAGGGGGAGTAGCCAGGGGCCAGTTACATCTTGGGTGGAAGTCACTTCCATCCCCCACTCAAAGCATGGCCACAGCTACTTAACATATCTCTGCGGCCAGTGAAAGGTTACAGATGTGTTAAATGACCATGGCAGGGGTTAGCTGCAAAGCTGTTGCTATTCAAAACAGCTCTGCATGTTCCTGCTCCATGTGTCCCTTCCCCTAATTCCCACCTGTGAGGGGAGGGGGTGAGGACATCCTTTATGTCTTTCTAATATTTCCTGGACACCTGGAGTTCTGGACCCCATTCCAGACCCCTATTTGGGGCCCCCTGTTGGTGGCACCGTGTAACAGCAAACTGTCCGTGTCATCGGGAGTGCACAGTGTGTGGCTGGTCACATCCGGGCCCCGCAGCCTCGTGGCCCCGCAGCCCCGACACCCAGCCTGGGTCTGCACCTGCCCGTGTGTGGCCGGCCGCCACACGCTCCTTCCGAGGCACCGGCCCTGCGGTTCGCTGAGGCGCGCTCCTGTTTCTCTCATTCCCAACCCGTGAATTCGCCCCCGTCTCCACCCCCACCTCCTGGGCCCACTCGATGCTCCTTCCCTGCTCTCTGGGGAAGGTGTGGTGCATTCATTTTCAGCCTCTCTCTCTGGCTCAGCGATAAAAACGCTTCAGGCTGCGAATTCACCAGCTCTTGCTGTGTGGGCTCCGCTGTGGATCCTCTCTCTGTGTGGCTGTCAGGTCACCCGTCATGGCCCCTCCGGCCAGGGACTCCTCTGGGAGAGGGGCTTAGCACCCCCAAACTGCCAGCCCCCCGTCCCGCTCGTCTCTGGGCCCCTTGTGTGGGTGTAAATGACAGGACCTCTGATTGTTCGCTGCGGCCGGCTCAGAGAGCACGCTGTAAGTGTGTGCGTGTGCGTGTGTGTGTGTGTGTGTGGAGAGGGAAGTGTCTTACCTCTGGTAACATGGGGAGGTGCACGTGCATGTGCAAACACGTGCACACACCCACACGCGTGCACATCTGTGGTATGTGTGCAGCGCACACGTGTGTGCAGGTGTGTGTACACATGTGCGGCTATGCCCACACATTTACAGGAGCATGCACATGTGTGTGCACTGTAGTGTGTAGACTGTGCCGGTGAGTGCCCAGTCAGGCCCCATCCTCACTGAAGTCTCTTCTGTGGACCCCGGGGTCTCGGGCACTTGGGGTGGGGTGACAGGCCTGCCCCCCACGTACATAGGGTCCCCGGGGGCTCACGCCCCTGAGGTCTGTGGGCCTGGACTGCTGGTGGACAGGCTCAGAGGGGTCTGCGTCCATGGGGGTGGACTGGGAGGGACTCGCTGGGGACTCGGGGTGTTGGGAGGGCCCTCCCCCAACCTGGAAGGCCAGAAGCAGAGCTGGGTGGCCCTGGGCAGGCCTGGAGCCGTCAAACAGCAGGTTCAGTGTTATCCTCACCAGCTACGAGGTCATGAGTGGACGCTGGCCTTTGGTGCCGGTCCCTCTGCCGGGCGATCGTGTGGTGTCCCCCCATGAGCGGCACACCCACCGTCCGGGCGGCTGTAGCGAGCGCTGCAGGGGGGCGACTGCGCGGCCAGGCCGCAGGTGTGGTGGGCGGTTCCCCCCGAGGCCGCACCCCTTGGGGTGTGAACAGCTGTCCCACCCCGTGTCCTCACGCGGTCATCCTCCGACCCACCCTCGTCATCCTACAAAGAGTCTGGTCTGATTGGCCAGGGCATCCCGGGGACACATTTTACCTTAACTGCCACTTCAAACAAACACCTGCTCCCTTTGCTTTGTTTTTTACGGTGGTGAAGCGGGTCCAGGCCCCCGGCCCGGTGGCATCAGGCCCTCACACCGCTGGGCATTGCCCCCCACACTCTGCAGGGCTCTCACCCCCCCAGCTCGGTCTCCCCCGGCCCCCACCCCGCACAGCGTCGTCTGGCACGAACTGGGGTGTTTTCCGGACGGTGGCGCTCCTTCCGCTTGCTGCTCTTTGACTTCCTTTGAAACGGTTTTGTTAGACTGTACTGTGGCGGTTGCCGTGCACTTAAAGAAACTTACCAAAATGGGGGAATTTTTGTGCAGCCTTTTTAATATTGAGGATGGAAGAAAATAGGCAATGTTTTCAGCATATTATGCTTTATTATTTTAAGAAAGGTAAAAACTCAACTGAAACACAAAACATTTGTACTGTGTATGCAGAAGGTGCTGTGATTGACCGAATGTGTCAAAAATGGTTTGTGAGCTTTCATGCTGGACATTCTCGCTGGACGATGCTCCCCAGGTGGGCAGACCAGCTGAAGTTGACAGCCGTCAAACCAGACATTAGCTGAGAAGAATCAACGTTCTAGCAGGGGGAGACAGCCAACATACTCAAAATACGGAAATCAATACAGCGATGGGTGAAAAGGAAAAGCCGCTTCTCTTTCCTGGGCAAACCACACAGGCTTCAGGGCTGACCCCACCCTTCCCATCACTGGACCTGGCCACCGCGTCTCCTGAGTCCACAGGGTGTGGCCTTTTTTCTGTGTCCTCTCACACAGCATCGTGTCCTCAGGGTTCGATCACAGGCTGGCAGGTGCCAGAACTCCCTCCCTCTCTGTGGCTGAGGAGGGACCGCGTCTCGTTACCGCTCACCCATGGAGGGGCGTGTGGGTGGCTCCCACGTTCCACCGTGGCGAACGTGGTTGTCCGGGTACCTGGCGCAGACCTGCTTTCAGTCCTGGGTAAA